GTATATGTGTGTGTTTGTGTGTGTGTGTATGTATTTAGAGAGATGGATGGATGGTGTAGAGGCAGGGCAGCTAGCCTGGGACCCGAAAGTCCCAGGTTCGATCCCCAGCCATTCCCACATGCTGTGGTATCTCTGAGCAAGGCATCTAATCCCTAATTGCTCCCTTTTCGCCTACAAAGCTGCCCACTGCTCAACCTGTGTATTTCCCAGGTGCGATGGGTTAAATGCAGAGAACCAATTTCACCAATGTATGGGAACATACAATGATGTCAACACATAACACATTATTAATTTATATATATATATATATATATATATATATATATATATATATATATATACAGTGCGTACATATATACAGTACATACATATATACAGTGAAGGAAATAATTTTTTGATCCCTTGCTGATTTTGTAAATTTGCCCACTTTACAAAAACATGAGCAGTCTATAATTTTAAGGGTAGGTTAATTTTTACAGTGAGAGATAGAATATCAAAAATAAAATACAGAAAATCACATTGTATAAATTATATAAATTTATTTGCATTTTGCAGAGAGAAATCAGAGTCAGAGTTTCTTTATTGTCATTCTCACCTCATGTGGTACATGTGGTGGAGCAAAATTATGTACACAGGGTCCCAGTTACATCCAACAATAAAATGTAAAAGAAAAACACTACCTGGATTATTCAGCATGCATCAGGATAAAAGAAAAACAGTAATAACATCTAAGATATGAACTAAGAAAAACATCAACTAAATATACACTAAGCACTCATAACATAAAAACATTGAACATCAGCACAAACATGAACATGAGTCTGTGTGAGCAGATGAGCACGCATGAACACATCAACATTGAAACAGATCAGCAACATGAGACAGATCAGCAGCAACATGATTGGATTTTTCACAGTGATTATTCTAGTTAGAGATTCATGAGTCTAACAGCCTCAGGGTAGAAGCTGTTCCTCAGTCTAGTGGTTCTACACTTAATGCTCCTCAACCTCCTTCCTGAGGGGAGTGGGGCAAAAAGTGTGTGTGCTGGGTGAGTGAGGTCCTTCATGATGCATGTGGCCCTCTTCCTGCATCTGGAGGTGTAGATGTCTGTGATGGTGGGGAGGCTGACTCCAACAGATTTCTGTGCAGCCTTCACCACTCTCTGCAAAGCTTTTCTTTCTGCAGCTGTGCAGCCTCCATGCCACACATTGATGCTCGAGCACAGGATGCTCTCCACTGCACACCCGCAGAAGGAGGTGAGGACTGAGCTTCCCAGACCAGCTCGCCTCAGCCGTCTGAGGAAGTAGAGTCTCTGATGATCTTTCTTGATCAGGCTGGTGGTGATGTTGCTCCAGCTGAGGTTGTCATTCATGTGTACACCCAAGTACTTGTAGCTGGAGACCACTTCCACCGCAGATTCTCTTATGTTCAAGGGGGTGTAGATGTTTTTGTTCCTTCTGAAGTCCACAATCATCTCCTTCGTCTTCTTCACATTGATGTGAAGGTTATTCTCTCTGCACCAGCTCTCCAGGTGTTCCACCTCTTGCCTGTAGCTGGACCCACCATTGTTTGTGATGCATCCCACCACCGCTGTATCATCTGCAAACTTTACAATGTGACAGCCCGGATGGGCAGCCGCACAATCATACGTGAGCAGAGCAAACAGGAGGGGGCTCAACACACATCCCTAAATAAGTAATTTATCTCCTACCAACCATTAAGAGTTCTGACTCCTATAGACCAGTTAATATGTTCCTAATCAACTCGTTACCTGTATTAAAGACAGGTTTCTTAAATGGTCACCTGTAAAAAAGACTCCTGTCCACAGACTCAATTATTCAGTCAGACTCTAACCTCTACAACATGGGCAAGACCAAAGAAGCTGTCTAAAGATGTCAGGGACAAGATCATAGATCTGCACAAGGCTGGAATTGGCTACAAACCCATAAGTAAGACGCTGGGTGAGAAGGAGACAACTGTTGGTGCAATAGTAAGAAAATGGACGAAATACAAAATGACTGTCAGTTGACATCGATCTGGGGCTCCATGCAAAATCTCACCTCGTGGGGTGTCCTTGATCATGAAGAAGGCGAGAGATCAGCCTAGAACTACACGGGCAGAACTTGTTAATGATCTCAAGGCATCTGGGACCACAGTCACCAAGAAAACCGTTGGGAACACACTGTAAGGGATTAAAATCCTGCAGTGCTCGCAATGTTCCCCTGCTCAAGAAGGCACATGTGCGGGCACGTCTGAAGTTTGCCAATGAACACGTGGAGGATTCTGAGAGTGATTGGGAGAAGGTGCTGTGGTCAGATGAAACAAAAACTGAGCTCTTTGGCATCAACTCAACACGCTGTGTTTGGAGGAAGAGAAATGCTGACTATGACCCAAAGAACACCATCCCCACTGTCAAGCATGGAGGTGGAAACATTATGCTTTGGGGGTGTTTGTCTGCTAAGGGCACAGGACTACTTCACCGCATCAATGGGAGAATGGATGGAGCCATGTACCATAAAATCCTGAGTGACAACCTCCTTCCCTCCGCCAGGACATTGAAAATGGGTCGTGGCTCGGTCTTCCAGCACGACAATGACCCAAAACATACAGCCAGGGCAACAAAGGAGTGGCTCAAAAAGAAGCACATTAAGGTCATGGAGTGGCCTAGCCAGTCTCCAGACTTTAATCCAATCGAAAACCTATGAAGGGAGCTGAAGCTCCAAGTTACAAAACGAAAGCCTCAAAATTTTAATGATTTAGAGATGATCTGCAAAGAGGAGTGGACCATAATTCCTCCTGACGTGTGCAAATCTCATCATCATCTACAAGAAACGTCTGACTGCTGTGCTTGCCAACGAGGGTTTTGCCACCAAGAATTAAGTCTTGCTGGGATCAAATACTTATTTCTCTCTGCAAAATGCAAATACATTTTATCCTGATGCATGCTCAATAATCCAGGTAGAAAAATCTAAAAAAGTTAAATCTGGTCCTCTGGAAATACATTTTATATAATTTATACAATGTGATTTTCTGGATTTTATTTTTGATATTCTATCTCTCACTGTTAAAATTAACCTATCCTTAAAATTATAGACTGCTCATGTTTTTGTCAGTAGGCAAACTTACAAAATCAGCACGGGATCAAATAATTATTTCCTTCACTGTGTGTATGTATATATATGTATATGTATATGTATATATATAATAATAATAATAATACTTTATTTATAAAGCCCTTTAAAACAACCACAGCTGCCACAAAGTGCTGTACATATAAAATCAAGAACATTTAAACACATAAAAACAGTTGTTAAAACATTAAGATCAATAAAAGTAATAAAAACAGTACAGATCAAATTCAGTGTGTGCTAAAAGCCAGGGAGTAAAAATGTGTTTTTAAAAGAGTTTTAAAACTGGACAGTGAAGGGGCTTGTCTGATGGGAAGAGGGAGATCGTTCCACAGTCTTGGAGCAGCAACAGAAAAAGCTCTGTCCCCTCTGAGCCTCCGCTTAGACCTCGGCACCTCCAGGAGCAGCTGATCAGCTGATCTGAGGCACCGAGCAGGAGAGTATGGGTGAAGCAGCTCAGAGAGGTAGGATGGAGCAAGACCATTTAAACTTTTAAAAACAAATAAAAGAATCTTAAAATGAACTCTAAAATGAACAGGCAGCCAGTGGAGTGAAGCAAGAGTGGGGGTGATGTGCTCCCTCTTTTGAACTCCAGTTAGAAGCCGAGCAGCAGCGTTCTGGACCAACTGGAGGCGTCTGAGGGAGGACTGGCTGACTCCAAGGTAAAGAGCGTTACAGTAATCCAGCCGAGAGGTGACGAAGGCATGGATTACTGTTTCCAGCTGCTGTTTTGTGAGAATGGTCTTTACCTTAGCCAGCTGTCTGAGGTGATAAAAACTGGTCTTGACCACCGCTCCAATCTGGGACTCTAATTTAAAATCACTGTCCATTTTAAAACCCAAGTTAGAAATAGTTTTCTTATATATATATATATATATATATATATACATATACATATACATAATTGTGTTATATTTATTTCAAGCTTAAGCTTTGCACAAAGAAAAGACAATTAGATACCTAAAATGAATTGTGTTATTATTTTCAATTTAAAAGCTTTAAAGTGTTTGTGTCCTTTTTGGTTAGCGAGTAAAATTAGTTATATTTGTTCTGCTGTTTTGTTTTGAAAGTTAGCTTTAATTAATATCCTCCTTTCACTGATGGATGAAATGATTTGTTGTGTATTTACTGTTTGTGTATTTACTGTTTGTGTGTGTTGCAGGTTACAGCGCGGTTGCGTTCGAAGGAGCCGGTAATTACGGCCACACTCCCACTCACCACAACTCCCAGTTCTCCGGCCACCCCTTCAAACACGAAGACGCCATAGCCCAACAGAACTCCATGGGTACGTTCTGCACCAGAACCGCAGAGTTCTATTCCGTCGGGCTCCGAGAACCTCAAGGTCTTTGCGTAAAGTCAGGATATTCTCACAGAAGTTTAAAAAAAAAAAAAAAAAATTTTACTCTTTAAAAATAGTTTGCTGTAGAGTTGAGGGCAAAAAAAATGTTTAAATTATTTTAAATTTATGACTTCTAGGAATAATTTAGTCTCAAATTCACTGTCAGTTAACATATGTTTTTATTAAAAAGAACAAAACCCTTAAAACATTTCACTGAGGAAAAACTCGGCAACAAAAATCTCGTACATTTTTATTTTTATTTTTTAAGTTTTCTGGACTATTTTTACCAGCTGGTTTTAACATATACATTTTTTGTATTTAAACAGAACTTTAAAGCCTAAAATAATTTTATTTTAATGCAAAATCAAGATTTATAATTATTCATCAGTTTTAGTTATTTGTTTTTTTATATTTCTGTCTTCAGTATTGTCTCAAACAGCAGCACACATTTAATTTTAATCAAACTAAAATGATCAAAAGCCCAATTTTCACAACCTGAAGCATAAAAATAAATTTTGTTGTCACATCAGCAAAAGAACAAAACCAAACAGCATTTTAATTTCATGTTATTTATACTGTTTAATGTTGCAATAGTTTGAGGTACAACAAGAACTAAAGTTGGTGTCAGGATTCGAACAGCAGTGAGGTGTCATCAGAAATTTTAAAATATAAAATTAATTGACATAAATGGGTAAAAAAAACAATGTTTTTTAAGATGGTTGAACTCTCTGTGTATCTTTGCTTTTTGGATCTTTAGCAATGTTTGTGCATTTTAAACAGCAGAAGTTGGGTTCTCAGGTCTCTGCTGATGTTCTTTTGTGGGTCAGAATCATGAACTTTAAGGAACCACCAAATTAAAAGAAGCGTTTCTCCTGATTAGAACTTCGTTTGCAGCTTATTTCTTTAAAATTACATTTTTTTTTTTTAAATCTCAGTGTCGGGACGTGAAACTAGGAAAACCAGAAACATTTGTTCCGTTTTTGTTTTAAACGCAACATAAATATAATATCTTAAAAATAAATATATTTTATTTTAAGAGTTTTGCTGATTTTAGAGTGATGGTAATTCATGCCATGAAGTCCCACAGCTAAAAACTTTTTTTTAGCGCAACAACTGAAGTGACGCTGCTCTGCATCTAAAAGTCCAGCAGTAGGAAGTTATTTCCATCCGCAGTTTCTTTAAACATAAAACACAACAGAGTCTGTCAGAATGAGAGCAGACGCAGATATTTTTGCGTACTTTGAGCCCCCTCGTGTGAATCCGCAGCTGTGTGTTTGGTCGCCGCTCGGCCCTCGCCCAGGGAGAGTCTTGTCCCCTCATTCTGACGTCTCTGCAGTGACCTCGCCTGTCGGAGGTATAAATCAGCCACATCCTGACTCACAAACTCCCTCGCCTCCTCCTTTCATCCACTGACCCGTCTCTTTATTCCCTCCTCTGCGCTCACGGTTAGTAAACATTTAGATGTTAGTTTTTGGTGGAGCCGGAACTGTAAATTCTGCTATTTTATTGTTATTATTATTTTAATGGCAAAAATTACCAGGAGAATAGTGGATAAGAAGTGTTGAGGCACTTGGTCGGCACAGAAAGCTACAATAACATCAAAACAAACGTTCTTTATTGCAGATCATTCCATTTTAAATTAAAGGTAATATTCCTTAGGAAGTACCGCCCATCACTTTGCATGCCACAGTTTTGAACAGAGATGTTATGTTGTCTGTTAGCCATCTTGAATCGTTGACTCAGAAAGATAACCATTTGTAGACGCACATCTAATGACTGCTTTCTGAAAGGTTTGTTAAAATCCATGATGGAGCTCATGAGATATTTGGACACAAGCAATAACATTGTCATCCGCCTTCGCCTTTCGATGGAGGAAGATAAATTACAACAGGACCACTGTCCTGCAAACATCCTCACAGCTAAAAGATAAACTAACAGAAAGCTAAAAGTAGCACAGAGCTAGCAAAGTGTCAGCGACATGCATGTCTTACAAATACAAGAAGTGGAAGAAAATATCTTAATATTTAAGAAGTTTGGCATAAAGCACATGATTTTACCCATTTTGTCCCTTAACTGGCAGGTTTTTTTTCTAAGCAGCCCGAGTGAAACAGGAAGTGACATCAAAGGGGAGCTTTTTAAAAAGGGGAACTTCCTGGTCTTTGTTTGTTTTAATATTATTTGATTTCTGACTTTTTTTCTCTGATGGTGACTCAAAATAATCTAAAGAAACATCAGACTCTTCTCTCCTGTCTGTGTCAGCCGTTGTAGCGATGCTCTGTTTACATGCAAGCGTTCCACTTTGACATCACTTCCTGTTAATGCACATGCAAATATCTCAACAACTGTTGATCTCTGTGGCGTGATTTTTTTCCAAATGCTTTATTAATGTAATGTTTCCAGAAATGCGTTCATATTTATGGCAAATTTTTGATGTCACAATTAAAGTTTAAAGCAGGACTATTCAACTGGCGGCCCTGTGGCCAATTCAGGCCCACAGGTGTGCTCAGTTCGGCCCACCAATGGGTTCACTTTTAAATAAAACTAGATTTTAAATTAACAAAGTCCATGCTCAATAATCCAGGTATACAATCCAACATTTTTCAGTCAGGTCATCTGGACAGTTGAAAAACTGTTTTGTGTTGTGTGTTTCCTTGACTGATGAAGCCTTCTGGATGGAAGGTGAAACGTTTCAGCACAAAAAAAAAGAAACCGTCCAGATGACCTGACCGAAAATTGTTGGATTGTATACCTGGATTATTGAGCATGGACTTTGTTGGATTTGTAAATAAAGTTAAACAATTTTAAAAGTCTAAAAATTACCAGACCTGAGCTGAACATTTTCATGTGGGCGGCTAAAATGCCACAAATTCTACAGAAGTAGTTATTTTGCAACAAATGTGCGGATAAATTAAAAGTATAAAAGCAATCAACTACTGTGCCATGTTTCTCATGTTCAGCCTTTATTTTTGCACACAGGCGTCCATTTTTTTGTGTAATATTGTGTCTTTTCCCAGGTGAGCAGCAGTATCCCGTCCCTCCTCCTGTTTACGGCTGCCACACGCCTTCAGACGGCTGTACGAGCAGCCAGGCTCTGCTGCTGAGGAACCCCTACAACAGGTGAACCTTCGGCACTCCTATTCCAACATGTCAAATCTATTTTTACATTCAACAATCGCAGCTGGAATCGGTTCAGAGCCCATTGTTGGCTGTGTCGGGTCAAACAGCAGTAATTCAGTGAGAGGTTGCAGGATGAGGTCCTGAACAGGATGTTCACCTTCAGGACAGGTCCGACTGCCACCGTGGCTTCCTCCTTCATTTCCGCGCTGCTTCCTTTGGCTGATTTTATGTAAAACTCTCATAAACAATTTGATTTTGATTCAAACTCAGCGTTGCAGTAAAGAAACACCGGCAGGAAGTTCTGATTTACCGGTACTGATCGGAAAAAATGTTGTCCCGCTCATAATTTCACTGATTTTATTTACGATGCAAGTTGTTGTGAAACCCTCTGGTTTGTTCTTGAAGGACGGACAAGAAGTCAAGAGACCTCTTAACCTCTTTCTACAAAAACAGGAGTAATGTTTTTACTCAAACCTTCCAACCCACTCAGAAGCAAGATGTTCTGACTCTGAAATCACGGCCATCGGAACAATTTTGCACTCGTCTTGTTATTTAAAAACAGACCCGCGTTCATCTCATGCTTCCAGAACTTTTGAGATAATCGTTGTTTTTATTTCTCGTGCAAATCATTTTAAGTTCATTAATGAAACTTATTGGGGTTTATAAAGGAAAATCATCTTCCTAAAGGAGTAAATCAATGATATTTTCAAAAGCAGCCTGTAATTTGCTGGTTTGGATAAATACTACATTTCCATTAAATGCACTGCAGAGACTTCAGCTTTTTTTTTGTCCATCTGTCGCCTGATGGTGATAATTGCATCAATGAGCTGCTGACTAATTTGTTCTTTTCAAATATGAGCGATCAGAGCACTTAAAAATACAGCAAGTTGAGTCAAAAAAAACTTTTTTTAGCTTTATCTAAAGAAGGAACCTAAAACATGTCTGCACTGACTTCCAATCTCTAAAATACTTGCAGCTTGATCAATGATAGGTGATCCAGGTGCATTTCAGAAACACTGTTTTTCATTCTCACCTTCTTTAAAAAAAAAAAACTTCTTGAGAAAATTATTAAGAAAATAACATTCATGAAATTGAGAATATTAGAGTTTAATTTTCAGCTTGTTGTTCCTGATGATAAAATTAAGTTAATAATTCTATCATGAAAACGTGCATGAAAGTAAAACTGAAGCAGCTATCTTAGATTGTAAGTTATAAAAATAACAACTTCAACACAATTTAAGATTTAATTCTTGAGGTTTTGTAAATTAACCAAATTTATTTTTTTAAATGTTTTAATCGTTTCTGTAGTGAGACACGTGAGGTACGTGTCACTTGTTGTATGACAAATATATGGATATATATTTATGCATACTTTTCACGAGTTCTTCATTTTTCTGACTGTAAATGTCGTGCATTGAATTTAACAGAAATGTGAACGAGAGACGTTATTTATCTTTGACCCATCAAATGAATGGAATCATTTATTTTCAAAATCAAAGTTTAACATCAAACATTTACATTAATTTGGCAAAATATGAAAATAATAACAGACAGTTTCACAGAAAATGAACTTCAAATCACTCGGCGGTGATTTGAGGACTTTGCTTAAGATATTTCTAAAATATCTGTACTGATTTATGAGAGAGAGGTGGGTTTTAGAGTGAAAGGAGATTATCTTACAGAGAACTGTGTGAGGGAAGTTTAATCTGTTTAACCAGAAATTGCACGCTTCGTCAGATCCTCAGCTTCTCACGGTACACTTGGTCAAAATAGAACCATCTACCTGTTGACGATGAATCAGCGTTGGATGTAGTTCCTTTCTGACTCGTTTCAGCGTCTCCGTCGAGAGCTACCAAACCTTCAGAAAGTCGTGCGTTGATTAGCTCAAAACAGAATTATAATCCCAAACGTTCCTGGTTCTTCATAACTCCAAACTCTTCATAACCGGCTGCACTCTCAATCTGCTCATTCTGTTGGACTATCGGACCTGTTGTCAGCTCTCATTCCAACATCTCTCAGAACTCTCATTCTCTTGGAATTCTGGAATCCATAATTCTCTATTCCTTCTCTTCTCTATGAACTGAGAAGTTGCCACATTTTATTTGGGTCGACTTCCTGTTCAATTTAGAGCTTTCTGATTCGTGGAAGGACCAGAAAGAGGAGTGGATTTGTGACGTAAGATGTTATCATAAGTCAAGGATTGTTTACAACATACAGAAAAGATTATTGCAGCAACAGCAGACTTCGTGGAGTCTCACACTTTGTAATCTTTTCAAATAGTAAAACATGACATTTTTCTCGGTAAACATTTTAGTTGACCGAAAACCAACCTTTAACATACTTACGACAGCTTGCTCATTTCAGACAGAAAATCAAGAAAGGCATATTCAGGTGATTTCTTCTCTGAATGAGGAACAAAAATCATTACTTACTGTTTATGTAAAATAAAAATTAGTAGTTCTTTTCAACCTGTAAAGCATTGAGTGAACTAACACAATTTGATTATCAAAACATTTGTAAGACAGTAATGATTATAAAGAATTGTCTTTTCTGCTTGATTAATTCAAGAAAGAAAGTTCATCAGATGGTTCAGACTTATTCAGATCAATGAAAATAACAGTCTCTGTCCATCTGGTATATTTGAGGTCATCTGGTTCACTACATTTCAAAGAATAACAAGGTTCAAGTCTCAGCAAAACTCTTCATTAAAGTCAAATCACCACCAACTTTATCTTTAAATGTTTTACATCCTCATTACTCTTGAAGAAACTGAGCTTAAAAAATAATGGTCCTCTCGCCGTCACTCCCCATCCTGAGCATCACAGTGACCCCGAGCAGAACCAGAACCGGCCTCACGATGGGCAGCTATCTGCCTCGGCTGACTGGGGCCAGAGAGGACAGGATAAATACACAGAATGACTGGTCCAGGTGTGGTTTCTATGATCCAGGTGTGATTTATATGGTCCAGGTGTGGTTCATATGGTCTAGATGTGGTTCCTATATTCCAGGTGTGGTTTATGTGGTCCAGATTTTGTTTTGTATGGTCCAGGTGTGATTTCTATGGTACATGTGTGGTTTCTTTGGTTAAGATGTCGTTTCTATGGTCCAGGTGTGGTTCCTATGGTCCAGATGTGGTTCCTATCATCCAGGTGTGGTTTATATGGTCCAGTTGTGATTTCTATGATTCAGATGTGGTAACTATGGTCCAGGTGTGATTTCTTTGGTCCAGATGATGTTCCTATGGTCCAGGTGTGGTTTCTATGATCCACGTGTGGTTTCTGTGATCATGGTGTGGTTCATATGGCCCAGATGTGTTTCCTATCATCCAGGTGTGGGTTCTTTGATCCAGGTGTGGTTTCTTTGATCCATGTGTAGTTTATTTGATCCAGGTGTGATTTCTATGATCCAGGTGTGGTTTATTTGGCCCAGGTGTTGCTTTTATGTTCTAAATGTGGCTTCTATGGTCTATATGTAGTTTCTATGGTCCAGGTGTGATTTCTATGGTCCAGGTGTGGTTTCTATGATCCAGTGTGATTTCTGTGATCCAGGTGTGATTTGTATGGCTCAGGTGATTCCTATGGTCCCGGTGTGGTTTCTGTGGTCCAGGTGATTCCTATGGTCCCGGTGTGGTTTCTGTGATCCAGGTGTGGTTTGTATGGCCCAGGTGTGGCTTCCGTTGTCCAAATGTAGATTATATGGTCCAGGTGTAGTTCTTATGTTCCAGGTGTGGTTTTTATTGTCCAAATGTGGTTTCTATGCTCTAGGTGTGGTTTATATGGTCCAGGTCCAGTTTCTGTGGTCAAGGTGTGGTTTCTTTGGGAAGAAAAACAAAGAAAAGCACATGTTAATTATAGAAATACTTTCAAATACAAACACGGGGAGGAGAGCAAGTAAAGACAGCAACAGAGTGAGGAAACATGGACAGTTCGTCCTCCAGCAATCTAAGCCTATAGCAGCAAAACTAACGGATAGCTCAGGAAACCCAAACCAACCCTAACTATAAGATTTATCAAAAGGCAAGTCTTTGATCTGGTTTTAAAAGTAGCCAAGTTGTCAACCTCACAGACACAAACTGAAAGTTGGAACCTGATAACTGAAAACTCTGCCTTCCATTCTACTTTTGGGAACTCTAGGAACCACTAGTAAACCTGCAGTCTGAGAGTGATGTGATCTATTTGGAAAATGAATAACAATTGTACATTATAGCTAAGATGGAGCTAGGTTGTTGAGAGCTTTGTACCACTGAGCTCAGCTGAGTTCTTGTAGGCAAACTAATGACTGAAAATAAAGAGATCACAATAATAAAAGGAAACGATAAGGGGAGATATTTTACTAATTATTTTTGCTCAGGTATAATATTTTAAATGCTTAAAGATCACAGTTTAAACCACCACACCCACGTTCAGTCAGAGGAGGAGCCGTTGTGTTTGACGACAGCGAACTTCCTGTCAACGATGGGAAAAAATTCACAATAATCTTCTTCTGAAGTTAATGAGCATTTTAAGGAGGTGCTCCTCCTCACGACAAACTGTTTGTTTTGTTTCTAAACGAAACATTCTTTACGTGCCGCTGATTTGGTGTTTTCCATCGATGGAAGGAGAGGAGGAATCCTCTCTGTGCCCTGCAGCAGGGACGGACACCGAGGCCTCAGTTTCTGTTTTTATGAAGACAAAACAGCCCTGACTCGGGCTGAGGGGCGGCTTTGTCATAAACATAACTGATAACTACACACACACTGCTGGAAAGGCTCATGCGAGTGAAGTCAGTCATCTAATCTCGCAGCCTGGTACCATCAGGCCTGTATTTACTCTGTGAGCCATCAACTTGGAACAACATGAAGTAAAAACATGCCGAGGTTTTAATAATCCGCTCAGAGACGGAAAAAGGAAGGCACTCTGGCTTTTATCAAAGCAAAGAAACAGTCTGAGATTCCTGCAACGGAGCTCAGTGTTCTGTTAATTAACAAACATCAATCTGTACCTCATGTTGTTTGGAAAAATCAGGAAGAAAAAGCATACACATGATTGGCGGTCAGTCTCAGAGTTCGGCTCCTGATTGCAGTTTTTGTCTATTTGATTTGTTCTACTTTGCTTGAAGCTGAATGCATTATTGGAATCATTTAAAAAAGTCACACATTAACTCCAACATTTCTAAGAGCTAATTTGTGATTCAGTTGTGGCTAATTTGGGTTCTGAAAGATAAAAGCTTTTATTTTGAAGGAATTGTCAGTGCAACAAAACTGGAAGTAAAGGAAAAATTTCCCCACAAACCTGAAGATATTATCCATGTCCACTGAGCTGCAGCTTTCACTCAACACAGATACAACCTTCATGGTCGTATCTCACTTTCTCAGGGTTTACAGAGGCTGCATCTTGAATTCTGAACATGTGCAGCAAATTTTCTCAGTCACTGATTCATTGATGGCATCTCCAACACGTCTCGAGAACTCTAGCGATGTATTTTGACCTCTGCAGGGATCTCTGCTCTGACTGAAAAGCATGTCCAGGTCTAAAAACCACGTTGAAGATAAATGATAATTATTTTAAAAACTGGTCTAAATCTTCCTAACGTCATTTCAAAAGTGTAATCCAGTAGATTAAATCATAAACTGGGGTCAGCAGGAACAAAGCGGGTCAAGGCAGTAAGGATTTTAGTCCTGCAATCAAAACTAAACTGTGTGTTTTCTAAATTAATGAGCACAATGCCACAACTTCCTGTTCACTTAGACGCAGACATACAGAATTCAGTGGAGCTGCAACAAAAAAATACATATATTTTCTCACAATATTCTATGCCCAGTGAGAGATGAATCGAAGTTTATTTCTGTAGCATACTGTATTTGAAAAACAATCCTCATTGAACAGAGTGTTATGCACAAGGTAAAACATAAAGCATTGAAGGTGAAGTAAAATGCAATAAAATCCACAAGTTTCAAGGTGACTTTATTGTCATTTACATCACATGTTGTACATGAGATGGAATGAAACTGTGAGTCCCAGTTACATCCAAAAATTGCCAAAATATAAAGTATAAAAAAGAAACTGTATACAAGGATCTAAGATATACACTAAACAATAATAATGTAATATAATACGGTGTATTAAATGTTATAACTTATTTATGCATAAATAAACCATGCTGCTGTTCAGCGTATTGTTTTTGCACTACTAGTACTTAGTATATTTTTATTTATAGTTTTTCTTAGTTCATATCTTTGTTCTTATTACTGTTTTTCTTTTACATTTTATGCTTTTGTTGGAAGTAACTGGGACCCTGTGTACACAATTTCATTCCCCCTCATGTGCCACATCATGTGATGCGAATGACGATAAAGAACCTCGAATCCTTGAAAAGCCAGTGAGGTATGATCTGGTCTCAACTGTTGATGACAACCTGCGAGCAGCTTTTTACGAGGGAGTCTCCAAAATGTCTCGAAACATTTGGGAACACGTGGGTTCTCAACAACATTATTAGTCAGATCATTTTGGTCAGAGGTTATGAAGTTATGGATGTATTATTACTAACATTATTTCCCTTAAGACAAACAACCAAATTGTCTCCCAAAACACTCTTATTCTGAAGAGATACCCGTGGATCGTATCTGTGAAGGCCAGGTGTGAGACTACAGCTGGCTTTGAGGAGAACCACTAAAACCATTGTCAAGCTGATAGGGATATGAAAAGCGAGCGGACAATGCAGCACTTTGCCGATTCTCGTGACTGGGCTTCATGTGTTTACATTTAATGTATATTGATGTAACTGTTCCAATATCTGACCTTGCAAGTAAAATTGTGCCGGAGATAAATCTTCACCTGTCATGTGTGAGTGTGGTTCATTAGAGTAAACATCAGTTAGTGTTTTCCTCTAACATTTATTAGTGATAATTAGATAGACAAGTAAATAAAAACACAAACTGTTTAATAAAATATAAATATGTGAAAGAAAACATCAAATTAAAATGTTGTGTAATATTGCTAAAACTAGAAACATCTAAAAATGATGAAGAAAAACTGGTCCGTGCATTTGTCATGTCTAGACTGGACCATTTCAATGGTTTGTTATCTGGATGTCCAAATACTTATTTAAAAAGGCTTCAGTTAATCCAAAATGCTGCTGCCAGTGTCCTAACTGGAATTAGTGGGAGAGATAATATTCATTCACCCTTTATTTAAACAAATAAGTCACAATGAGCCTCGAAAACTCATTTACAAGTGAGACCTGTTTGGACAGACAATAAAAGTGGTGAAAAATGACACATGGGTTTGGAGACAAAAAAAAATTCCTAACACGCTTTTAACCTCTGTTTGAAGGTCAACAGTGTGATAATGAAAAAAAATCTCGCACACGAGCGCATAATGACGCCGACATTACGCAGTCTCCAGTTTGAGCTTCTCTCCATTGGCTCCCTGTCAAATCCAGAATTGAATTCAAAATCTTACTTCTAACCTACAAAGCCCTCAACAACCTAGCTCCATCTTATATTTGAGATCTTTTTGCTCCATATTTTCCTAACAAAGCACTTCGTTCTCAGACTGCAGGCTTACTCACGGCTCCTAGAGTTACCAAAAGTAGAATGGGAGGCAGAGCTTTCAGTTATACTGGAGGACAGATTGACCACATTTCTTAAAATGAATTCTTACAATTGAATAGTTTTCATTTGATATTATTTCTATCTTAACATGTGATTCTTGACCTGCCATTGTGTATCTGTTCCTCCTTCCTGTTCCTCTCAAACCCAGCCGGTCGAAGCAGATGCTTCAAAGCTTGTCCTGAGCCTGGTTCTGTTAAAGGTTTCTTCCTCATGCGGGAGTTTTTTTCTTTCCACTGTCGCCTTCGTGCTTGCTCAAGTAGGGTTTGCGCTCCTCAGATAAATGTTATTTATTTGTTTATTTATTTTGTTATTTGTTTCTGTTCAGTGCCCTGAGATGACTTTTTTTTTGTGACTTTGTGCTATATAAATAAACTGAATTGAATTGTCAGTTTTCTCATTTGAGGGCGTCTTTCTCATGTCGCTGAATGTCTGAACATGTTTCGAAAATAAATTTTCTCGACGGATTTACTCTCAAAATAGTCCCAGAGTCGTCCCAGAGTCGTCCCTAATGTCGGAAACTTGTCTGTCATTAATTTCTGAGTCAAAGTGTGAGAAATGTGGTAATCTTGAGAGGATTTACCAACCAGGAAACTAAATTATGACAAAAAGGGAGAATAAATTGCAATAAAATGGGAGACATAATTAAGACATTGATTAAAGTGCAAGAACTAAACTGAAAGGATGTTGCAATTTATTGTTGACACAAATCAAAAATGTTAACCAGCAGTACAGGAATATGAAGTTCATGTATTTTTCTTATGAAGTTTGATGAAGTTTAAATCTGTTTCACTTTATTTTACATCACCCAAGGCAGCAGAAATGCCTTATCATGAGTAAGTGTTTCATTTATTCTGTTAATTGTGAATAAATTTGAGTTGTATCTACATTAGGAGGCAGAGGGAAACTACTTGTTTAAAATAACTTTCCAGATGATTGATGTAAAGTGAGTCAGAGATGGGTTCAAAATGTCAGCAGCAGAGAAGAAAAGTAGACCCATTTTCATTCAACAAGTGCCCTAAATCATCACGTGAAATCTTCTGCTGCGCCTCAGGTCCAGTGATATTTCAGCAGAAATACCTTTTGGGTCTGCTGCCTCGGCTTCAGTGTGAAATAATAGCTCCATAATGAGCCAGGTACCAGGCACCACCTCTGCTCCGCCGGACCGCTGTGATCCTGCAGGCGGCGTGAACGGGGCCTGAAGGCTGTAAATCCAGTGTGTTACAGACAGAAGTGTGTGAACACACACACGCTGGTGGTTCTGTAAGTACTGGGCAGATCTGAATGATCATGGGTCCGGTTTGTCTAATAAACGATGGCTGATATCCAAAAAGTTTAGCTGTGCGTTCTCTGTGAGAACGCTGAGTTCACTCAAACCTGGACATTTTCAGCTTCTAGCTACTTCAGCAAACTTTCAGCATTTCAAACCATTTGGGTATCGAAACTTTCAGCTTGTTCAGGACTTTGGTGCTCTGAGTTTTGGTTTTTGTACCTTTTTTACTTTATAAAATATTTAACTTTTTTGGTTTCATTAGAATACATGGAGATTTTAACTTTTACCTAATTAAAAAAAGTTATCTACTACTTTTGCGCTAATTTTAGCTCATAGATAAAACTTTTATTAGTTTATGGCTATTATTTTGCATTTAGTTACTGTTGCGTTAGCTACTGTTGTGCAACTCGAGCCTTTAGCTACTATTTTGCAAATTTTAGCATTTAGCTAAGAATTTTTCTAATAGAAGCATTTAACTACAGTTTTGATTGCTTTAGCTTGTAGCTACAGATGTGCAAATTTTAGTTTTAGCTATGGTTTTGCTAATTGTAGTTCTTTGCTACATTTGTGCTAATTTCGGGTTTTGGATAAGATTTTGCATTTAGCTCTTGTTTTGATGACTTTAGCTTTTAACTACAGTTTTGCAAATGTAGCTTGAAGCTACCGTTTTAGTGATTTTTAGCTATTGGCTGATTTAACACATTTTAGCATATAGCTGCAGTTTATGCCTGATCATTTTAGGTAGGCTGTTTTGATAAGTTTACATTTTAGCCTATTTTGTGTTCATTGTAGCTAAAATAAACTTTTAGCTGCTCTTTTGCTGATTATAGATTTTAGCTACTGTTTTGCTAGCCTTGGCATTAAGTTATTGTTGCGTTTATTTTAGCTTTTAGCTGCTGCTGTGCTGTTTTTACTTTTGTCCATGATTTAGCCTTTGTAAGAATTTAGCTACTGCTGTGCTGGCTTTAGCTTTTGGCTGCAGTTATGCAGCTTTTAGTTTAGTGTTTCAAGCAGTACGTTTGCTCATTTTAGCATTTATCGGAGATGAGTGGTTTTGCTCATGTTCACTTTAGGTTTTGAGTCTAAGGTGCTACAGATAGCGCAGCGAGCTAATCGTCCTCCGTGTTGTCTTCGCAGCGGGGACAACTTGTATCAGATGGCGTCTCAGCTGGAGTGCATGGCGTGGAATCCCGTCAATTCACTGGCCTCCACCATCAAGAGGTAGGAAATGATCGTCAGGCTCATCAAGCAGCAGCGTTCAGAGGAGAGCGTAGGTAAAGTCAGGCAACAGATTGTTTCAGATGAAAAACATTTAAGCTGCTGTTCAGGTGCTGGCTTGTTTCCATCAAAAATCACACTTTGCAGCTGTTTACTGACAAATTTGCTGCACAAAATGAGTCAAATATTTGCGACTTTGATACACCAAGAACTCGGATTACGCCTAACTTAAAGGGATAGTTCAGATCCTTTAAAGTGGAGTTCTGCAGAAAAGTTCAATCTTACCTGTTGGCTGTTTGAACGACCTCAGTTTGTAGAAATAATCTAATTATGACTGAACAGATGAGTTAACAGCTAGTACTTCTTTTTAAACAGCTCAAATCTAAAAAAAAAAAAAAAGTAATTTATGTGAATGTCACTATTTGTGCTTGTCAATAAAATGTAAAAATAGCCACCTCAAGCAAAACTGACATGCAAAAGTTAATTTAAATACAGTTCTGATTTTTTTAAAGTTTAAAGTTTTTCTCCAAACTGAGGCCTTTTGTAGGACTTGGCTGTAATTTTTCATGTTTTTGCAGAACGCCTTCTCAAAAGATCTGAAGTGTTGCTTTAAACCGTGACGGATGTAAACTCTACACCTCTCGACAAATCCCCTGCACGTTCCTCTCTCTGCTCCCTGATTTAATGGCGCCGGCGCTCCTGGCTCCAATCGAGGTCACAATGAAGCACAAATGATGTTCATCATTCAAATAAGGGCCGAAAGAAAAAAAAAATTAAACTACGATGAGTCGTGTTTGGAGGGAGTAACTCCAGGATACTCCGGGTGTTTGATCTTTAACGAGGTTCCTCCATTTCTTCTAGGAATAGTTCAGGAAACACGTCTGAAATCTCTCAGGATGTTCAGACAAACCTTAAAGCGTTCGGCGCGAACCGTAATGTCACCGTGACCCGCTGCTCGGCGTCTGTGCCGGCTCGACCCGTTCCTTTCTACTCCGAGCCAAAAGGCATCCATCATGGTTAACAGATGAATGCGTGTGTTTCTGAAGTTTGCAGCAAGAGGTTCCTGCTTTTTCAAGACATAGTAAAACGATGAAGACAAACAGTTTTTTTCATATTTTCTTGATAAAAGTTGCTCTCTCTGCTCTGGTGATGGGAGATGGGGAGGTGTGAGGGAGTATGGAGGATGAGGAGGAAGAGATGAGAGGAGGAGGCAGATAAGAAGGGACAGGCGGAGGAGAAAGAAAGGAGGAAGAGGAAATGAAGAGGAGTTGAACAGGAGGAGCGAACAGGTTTATTCCCAGGGTTGAATAGAAGCCACCCATGTCCTCGTGAAGCAGCGCCTCAAACAAGAATATTCGCTGAGTTTAACAAAAATTAAACGTTCACGTCGCTGTTGATCCAAAATAAAAGTCACATTTCTGTGGTCGTCGGAGACCAGAAGCTTTTATCAGTTCCCTTAAAGGTCAGCTCAGTGCGTGAACGCTTCCTCCATATGTTTTTCAGCTTCTTTCTCGTTCCACAAGTTTTGTGCTATTTCAACAAATCCTACATCAAAACGTTCAGCTCGTGTAGGAGAAGGGTGCTGTGATTTTTGGTATTGGTGCAACTTTAGCTTTTTGAAATATTTAGTCTTTTCTGCCATTTTCTTCTCGTAGAAAATTATTTGAGCTCATTTTACATCCTTCAAAACTTCAGATCTGTTTACAACCTTTTACTGCTCCTTTCACATTTTGTTCTGCTTCAGCTTCTTTCAGCTTCCTTCTGCAAATTAAACTTTTTTCAGCTACTTTCAGCTGGGGTTTTTTTTCCAGCTGTTTTGTGCTCCTTTCATATTCTTCCCACTAACTACAACATTTTTGTGCTTCTAAATTATTTCTGCTAATTTCAGCTTGTTATTCAGCTCTTGGCTTATTTCTGAATGCTTCAGCTTTTTCAGCTATTTCAGCTAGCTGTTTTAATGCTAATTTTAGCATTTTCAGCCAATTCCATATTTTTTGCACTCATTTCAATGTTTTTCATCTTAATTTAACAAAATTGTGCTCTCACCTCTTCCTTCTGCTAACAAGTTTTTTCTTCCTTTTTAGCTGTTTTTAATCCGTTTTTTTTTTTTTGCTTATTTCTGCTTTCTTCATATAATTTCCACTTTTTATTCTAATTTCTGCTTCAGCCTATTTGGGTAAACATGTTCTTTCTGCTTTCTTCTGCTAATTTAAGCTTGTTCTACATTTCCAGCTAGCTTTTTTTTTTTTTAGCATTCTTTAACAAATTTAAACTGTTTTCAGATAAATTCACATTTTTCCTGGTAATTTCTGCTACTTTCAGCCTAATTTACTTTTTTCTGCTAATTTCTGCTTATGCTTATGCTTTTTTTTTTTTTTTTTTTGCTATTTCAGCTGGTTTTATTCTAATTTTAGCTTCTTCAGCTAATTCCACTTTTTTTTAGCTCATTTGAGCTCTTTTTGCTTCCTTGTGGTAATTTTAATTTCTTTCTGCCTTTTTAAGCAACTTTTCAGCTATTTTCTCCCAATTTCAGCTTTTCTAGCCAATTTCCTAATTTTTGTGCTCATTTCTGTTTATTTAAAGCAAATTCAGCAAAAATGTGTTATTTCTGTTTTCTTCTACTAATTGTTTGTTCTTCCATTTCAGCTACATTTTAGCATGTTGTTTTTTAGCTAATTTTAGTTGTTTTTCAACAAGTTCTTGTGCAATAAGCATTCACGCTGCATGTTTGCAGGAAATGCAGTTTCTCTAGTTAGATTTAAAATAATTTGTGAAACTTCTAAGTATATGATGAAAGTAAAATGGAGATTTTTGCTGCTCCAACAAAAAGGACCGGCTTCTGCAACAAAAACAATTTATATCTCATGACTCCAGAAATACATATAAATGAGCCAGAAACTGGTTCTCTACAAATACATTCAAACTTGCAGAAAGTCTAAAAACTCACTGAAATTAGGTTAAATATCAGGGATGATGGAATTAGACTTTAACAGATAAATTATCCACCGTTTTCCTGCTTTATTAGCAGAAATATTATTATTAGAAAACATTTTATTATTTGTCAAACAGAGAATAGTGGTTTCCATGATCCGACTGCTTTACAGGTGAAACTTCCCGCCTTCCTAAAAAGCAAATTGTGCAGTTTTTTAATTATTATTTATTTATTTATTATTTTATCGTAAGTGACTAAGTTCAGCCAAAGAAGTGATGGCGTCTGTTTAATTAAAAATAAAAAGAGACGTTCTGGAATTTTCATCTGGATAGTTTATTTCCTGGAGTATCTTCACCCTCATATGAGTGTTCCTGATGATTTATTTTCCAAATTTGAGCTACAAATTGAGTGTACATTGAACGCAGCGTCACTGTGATGTGTTCAAGCGTGCAGATCGGCTAAGACTGTTGTTAAATGTTCCACTTTTTGTATCTGTTTTACCCTCATCCAGGTTCTGTAACGTGCTTTATGCTGCACTTTTTTATATTCTTATTTATAGACGTTTGGAGCATGCTGGGGAGGGGGAGGGGGGGGCACGTCAGCAAACTGCCTAAATCATTTGTCATTATCTGTCTCTGACTCCTGCATCAGGTTATCGATGATTTAACATTTTTGGGGCCAGTATTGGCCAGTATGCTTTAAGGGCCTCACCTGGTCCAGGAGCCACTAATTAATGTTCACTTGTCCGTGCACAAGTCATTTGTTTGAACAGCGGTGATAAGAACGGTTTGAATAAATAAAAATGATTAAATTGTTCAAGGTAAACATCGATAAAATGTGCTTAAAACCTGTCAGAGGTTCTGCACTTTCTACTGCTGAGACAAACTGCTGTCCACGATTGTCCACACGGGACACAAACAGAGCGCCTGCTCTTTGAGCTCCGGATGTGTAAAAATTACTTTTCTGCCTTTTTCTTTATTTTTCTGTCTTTATTTTTCGCACAGAACCACCGTCGTGCACCTTAACGGTTGGATAAAACGCTGAAACTGTAAACGAAAGTAACATGAAGTTAAAATGTGAACTCCTTTCTCTGGGAAAATGGAGGCAGACAAAGAGCACCTTATGATTCCCTCTGCAGCAGCACAGGATGCAAACTCCCATCCTCCTCTTTGACTCCGACACGCTGAAATATAACACACTGTGTGCACGTGTGTGTGTGTGTGTTTTATCAGAAGCAGATAGACAGCAGCTGCGTCAAACAGAGCAGGTTTTGTTTCTTCATTTTGACTCTACGAGTTGCTAAGTGTTCAAAACAACGGTACAAATTTGTTATCGCGCTTCAATTTGAGGTTATTTTATGCTTTAGTATATTGGATTATCTTTTATTTTTGGTTATAAGTATTGTTTTTTTTATTTAAGGGAATTTATTTGTTGATTTGACAGTTTAAAAAATATATAAAAGCTAACTTTATGGCATAATTTAAGACACATTACAATCAGGACGTTGTTTAGCAGATAAATAAATAGTAAATTAGCAAAATGTGAATTAAAATCAAAATGTTGAAGTTGACTTAATAATAATAATTAACATTTTTGTGCTGATTTTAAAAGTAATGTCTCCATTTTTTTACTTAAATCATCTCAGATATTTTTAATTTTGGTCAAATCCATTAAAAAAAATCACCACCAGTCAGTAAGAAAATAACACATTAAATGTATTTTTAGACATAGAAAATTCAGCTAAAAGTAGCTTCAGCTTTTTATTAAAACCACAGAAATTACACTTTATGTGAAAAACCAGTGTGACCAGGAGATTTAGATGACTTTGCCGTAAAGTTGAAATTGACTGAAAGCTAAAAGCAGCAAAACACAAGCTAAAAATCATTATTATTTTATTACAATGCTAGCTAAATGGAGCAAATCTCTTAAAAGCTACATAAAGCAAGAACATTGCTAAAAGGTAAAAAAAATAGCTAATTAGCTAAAGATAAAAGTAGCAAAAATTTGATTAAAAAAATAAATAAAAAGAGCAAAAGCATTGCTAAAAGCTAAAGTAACAAAGGGGTAGCTAAAAGCATAGCTAAAAGCTAAAGTAACAAAGGGGTAGCTAAAAGTTAAAGCCAGCAGAAAAGACTAAATCAGAGCCAGTTACTGAAGAAAGAACAGTGTTTGTGAAGGAACTGAAAAGATCTCAGTGCATTTCATTAGTAAAAATGTAGATAAATACTGTGAAAAATATTAAAGTGATAAAAACAAAAGTCAGAGCAGCCACCTGGATGAGCTGAAGGTTTTGATAAATGAAAGTGTGCAGAAGTGAACAGAAGACACAAAACAATAACAATCACACTATTAACGATGTATTTTATGATCTCAAACTCTTAATATTATCTTGGGAATTTTGTTTTTGTTTCAACAAAAGTCTGCAGAGTTTATATATATATATATATATTAACAATAACAGCCTCTCCGGCTTCTGTTGCAAACAAAATGAAACAAAATGTCTGAACCAGACCGACCGTTTCATGGGAACTTTAACAAATCCACCTTCCCGTCTCTGCACAGTTTGTGTGTTTCCTTGATCTTTGGTGCGTTTCTGTTTTTAAAAAGAACTAAAGTCCTTGAAGACGTTGATAATCTGTAGCTTATTTAGCCGTTTCTGTAGCGCCTGAACCGTCGGCTGAAACTTGAAAACCAGCGTCTTTGTGAAAAACAGTTTCTTACAAACGATGGCAACTTTGGAGGAAGAGGGAAGTGTAATTTAAAAAAACAAAGAAGGTAAAGATTTTAGACATTTTCCACGTTTGGAGGAATGCATATCGCCCGCTGCCTTTCATGTCAGATCTTTAAACAAAGCTCAGAAAATGACGGAGTTGGAGTCGTTTTGGTCAAACCTCTAAAATAACATTACATGTGAACTTTTGCCACAGAGTACGAGTTGGGGATGACTCTCAGCTACTACCATGCCGAACTGTGACCCATGCTGGCCAGTTGAGCCGTAATGAGCACAAGTGAAAGTACTAACGTTTCCGTCAAAGAGATTTAAGTAAATATAAGTCCATAAAGTCACCATCTAGTAACTAAAACATTTTATTTGTCTAATCCACCTTCAAATTCTAGTTTTTCAACGGGAATAATTATTTGTCTTTATAATATTATAACTTCCTTTGAAACCTTTTTTTTCCTGCTTTTGCCATAGCACCAGGAAATCCCTTCATATAATATTTGGTGTCATTGTCAAGCTTGGGCGTTTTTTTAAACATAGGGCTGGAATTCCTGAGTACATCAATCCGGACCAATAAAAATGAAGTTTTTAAACCGGCACTGAACAAAACTAGCTTGTTGCCAGGTGATAAAACACCAAATTTTAATCATTTTTGACTTTTGAGAAGGATAATTTAAAAGTACTAATAACGTGACATTTAACACGTCCTCATTGTGACTCATTTACCAGACCAGATGTCGTCATTACCAAACGTTACTGAGCCGCCACATCGGCTGGTAGTTTCATGTGTCAACTGTTTCGGCTCTGTTACTACTTGGCTTCGGGGCACAAAGGCGCATCAGGGGTGGGTTGGTTTCGACCCCCGCTTGCCACATCGGTCCGAGGCAGACGGAAGGCATCTCAGTCCCGGCTTAAGTTTTTTACTAACCCTAAAACTCCACAAGGACGAAATAAAAACCAAATATATTGTCTAGCTCTAAACTTTTTTAAAAAACCTCCAAGAAAATGTCAAAGATGGCTTTTTGGAGCGCTGTCGTAAGATAGTGGTCCTAAGTGGGATTTCTTTTTTTTTTTTTTTAAGTTTTTGGGAGGGTGTCTGATTTCTGCAGCTGTAGAGGCGCTGATGAGCTGAAATATTTATCCCAAACATCGCCATAAATTAAAAAAAAGAAACCCTCTGAAAGTACGGCTTCTATCCATGAACTCTGTCCTGCTATTTGCATTAAAGGCCGGCTGTGACAAGAGGAACGTCTGTAAATAATGTTTCCTCCCCGACCTTATCGGACCTGCACACAAAGAGCTTAGTGAAGCAGAACTTCAGGCTCTACCTGACGGGAATTAAGGATTTATGGCTCTGAATTATATTCTTTGTGTTGCTGTCTGCTTTGCATTTGTTTGAAATAATGTCTTTATAAGGATTTTTTTTTTTTTATGAACTGCTTGTTCGTCTATTTATTACTGCCTGCTGCTGAAAGGCAAACATGTTTTGTCTGTTAGCAAAATATCTCATGACCTGCTGGACTGATTTGAATAAAACTTGCAGGAAGCAATCATCGGATGTACGTCTACAAGTGGTTAACGTTTGATGTTGACTAGATTAAAGATGGCAGCCACAGACAGTTGATGTTAAAAAACACACAAATGGCTGGGATTCAGTCAGTCCTACAGATATTGAGCTAAACTTTGACGTGGCAGTAGCTGAGAGTCAAATCACAACACAAACTTCAAGTGCTACTCGTTGCACAACATATTTGCTTAAAACGTCCGCTTTAACTGCTAACGTCAACTTAGTTTGTCTGTTAGCAAAATATCTCACAAACCACTGGACAGATTTTAATGAAACTTTTCGAAATGAATCGTTGGATGAACAGCTACAACTGTTATACTTTTGGAGGCAGTTCAGCTCAAGATGGCTGTTAGAGCTAATTGAAATTAGCCAACACAAGAATGGTTACGACTCAGTGAAAATGACAAATATTGAACTATAATTTTGCGTGGTGGTAGCTGAGAGTCACTTGCAATAGAAGATTACTAAAGCGCAGTCAATTCTAAACATAAAATGTATAAAATGTTTGTGTGAAGAGCGGTAGGTGAAGTGAATTGTGTCGAGGAATCATTTTTGACTTCTGACGCCCAGCAAAGTTGCAGGAAGCAGATTTCCTCTGATCATTTTGACCGGTTTTTGTTGAACTCTGTGTCTTTTTGTGTCCGCAGCCACGCGGCGGGCTACGACAGCGACCCCAGCACCCCGATGGTGTACAGCTGCAGCACACAGTACCGCATTCACACGCACGGAGTCTTCAGGGGCATCCAGGTGGGCCCGCAGCTGCTGCAGCTTTCCTCTTGATCGTGGGCAGGTCATCTGGTCACGTCGCTCTGCCTTGTTTTCTGCTCGTGACACGCATGAGATTACGCCGACAACGAACAACAAAAAGAACGCTCTCTTAAAGAGACGTGACGCAACAAACTGATACGGCTGATACGTACCAGAACATACAACGACACTCGCACTGCGTAACGATGCAGTTTCCATACAAGTTAATAAATCATTACGTTTTAATTATTGTCTGTCAGCGGCTCTAAAAGACACGGAGCAGGAGACTCTCCAGACCTGATTTTAGTCCAGTTCTTTCTTCCCAAGGCTCGTTTCATTTTTCATCCTGCTCCTTTTTTTTTTTTTTTTTTTGTTCTTTAAAGCCCCAGGACAAAAAGAATAAACAATAGCTCCCTCATACGCCTCCTTAACGGTGTAATTTAAGAGCCGCAGATCGAGTTAATAAACGTGATGTTTGGCTCCGTGTTTACTGAACACTTTACGTCATCGATGACGCAGCTGTAAGAGTTCTTTTTTCTTTTAAAGTTCTCGTCTCCTGATTAAAATGTGTCGAAACGGAAACGCGTCAATGGTTCCCGCTTCATAAACTCACACAGTTTTAGTTGTGTTTGTAAAAACCGTCTACGGACATGGAGAGAATGAAAACGCTTAGAGCAAGCCTTAACGGGGTAAAGTTTCCAACTTGTTTATTTATTTGGAGGTTTAAATCACAAGTCAAAGTTTTCTGAAAGGCCGTAGCTTTTTTAGCAGATAGAGCGAAGGCCAACCTTTAATTGTGTGAACGCTGATTCAGCGTTCTGCTTCTTTTTAGCCGGTCAAAACGTTCGGCTTGTTCAGGAGATGCGCGCGGTAACTTTTGTTTTTTGTTGCTTGTGAATTTTTCAAAATATTTAGCTTTATTATTTTATGTTTTTCTATTGAAATGCATTGAGATCTCTTAATTTCTTTAACAAAATGTTGTTGTTTTTTGGGGTAAAACCTGCTTTAGCATTGTTGCTCTATTTTTCTTTTTTAAATTCTACGTTCAGCTTTTAGCTACTGTTCTACTACATTTAGCTTTTAGCTAGCCTTGTGCTACTTTTTTGTAAAAAAAAAAAAAAAAAACCTGTCAGTTTTCTCTGTCTGTGTTTGAATGGGAGGAGCTAACGCAGCAGAAAATCTGTTTTCAGAAAGAAAACGGTGCAATGTGGGCGGGGCCTATGTTCAGTAAATCCTTACAGTTTTAGAGGCAGATTGTAGTGTTGCAACACTAGAACAAAACAAAAAAAAACAATCAGTGCAAAGAAACACAATATAAAAGTTGCTAAATTATTTAACCCTCCTGCTGCCTTGGTGTCAGTAATGGGTCATTTTAACCCAAGGGCAGCAGGAGCTACGGTGCTAACTGCAGCAGGCCGTCCGTCTGCTTGGCCGTTACGTTAAACTCTGAGGAAATGAGGAGCAGATGGCTTTGAGCAGGAGATGGCGGAGAAGGTGCCGAGGGACTGAAGTGAAGACGTCTGAGGACAGAGAGATAAAGGAGGGTCATGCTGCGTGCGTTTGAGTCAGAACAGAGGATGTTAAACTTTGTTATTCTCCTGAAATGAGCAACGAGGAGAGGAGGGGAGGGCGTCTGCCTAAAAGGCGTGACTAACAGCTCCCCGTGGGACGCAGTCAGTCCGGGGTCATTTTACCGCTAATTCCCATCTCATGAATATATGAAGGTTTTATCATAATGATCCCCACAAGTCTAACGGATCACATGCTCCTAATTTACACACACAGGTTTAATTGTCTGTTTAAATTAACGTTTAGCTGCTTTGGTCGTCGATGCTTTTTTTTTTTCTTGTTGATTTTATCCTGAGTGGTTTTAGTTGTAAATAAAAACTGTTGTTTTTTTTTTTTTGTCAGGATGTGCGGCGGGTTCCCAGCATCACTCCAGCCATCGTGCGGTCAGAGGGCAGCGAAAAGCGTCCGTTCATGTGCGCCTACCCAGGATGCAACAAGCGCTACTTCAAACTGTCTCACCTGCAGATGCATGGCCGCAAACACACAGGTGAGAGCAGCCGAGGTGGAGAAATGTCCTTTGTGAGCCACTGTCAGGCTCCTCGGGGTGTTCAGGTAAGGCCTTGATGGAGCCGTAAAATAAATAAATAAATAAAATTTAATTCTTTTTACAAAATAAAATAAGTTTAACCAAGTAAAACCTGCTTAAATCTGTGTTCTATAACCGGACACTGCGCGTTAGAGAAACAGTTGACCGTTAAATTAGTAAAGCAAAGGGAGATGTGTGCCTCAAACTGCGCTGCCAACCAAACGGCGCCTTAAATCAGGTTTTGTGCATTTAACCTTTTAATTCTTAAAACAAATGGAGATGTGCACCACAAACTGTGTTGCCAACCAAACAGTATCTCTCTGCGCATTTTGTCCACATTTAAATGAGGTTTGTGCATTTAACCATTTAATTCTTAAAACAAAGGGAGCTGTGTGCCACAAACTGTGCTGCCAACCAAACAGCATCCTTCTACACAGGTTTTCCATATTTAAATCAGGTGTTGTGCAGCTTTTACAGGAAAAAAAATGACCACTTTTATGTAAATATCTGCTGTACATGATTCTCCAGCCTTAGCCCAGTAGTGTTTGACAGCTAGCATGAAGTATTCATGAGCTGCTGGTAATTGCATTCTGAGTGAAAAACCTAAGGAATAGGAGCAACCTGCTGCTCTGTGGCCTCACAAAGAGGGCAGGTGTGTTGGGGAAAGGTATACATTTAAAACCAACTTACAAGTGGTTGACAAAAACACAAAAATGGCTATAACTCACTACATCGCATAGATGTTGACCTAAATTTGGTGTGGTAGTAGCTGAGAGTGATTCCTATTACATACTATATTCAAACTGACTGTGGGAGATCTTTTTTGAAAATTTTACCAATAACTATTTGGAGTCAACTGTGTCGGTCTGTTAGCAAAATATCAGCTGCTCAGACCACCGTTGAAGGTAAACTGATGCCCAGCTTTTTCACCGTCCCATCAAAGGGAACCGTTTTTACCGACTGATCCGAACAACCGTTTCGATCCATATACGTCTGTCAGGAATCGGTGAACAAACTGAAACAATTTAAAAAACGAGATAAGCAGCATGTGCGTTCTTTAAAGCAAAATATTTGTCACAAATGAGCTGTTTTTGTGTTTTCCCAGGGGAAAAACCCTACCAGTGTGAGTTCACGGACTGCGGCCGCAGATTTTCCCGCTCCGATCAACTAAAACGACACCAGAGGAGGCACACAGGTTTGAAACACTTCACTACATCAGCTTCTCTCCTTATTTTACTTTTATTATTCTATGCCGTTTGTCTCTTTATTCTCCTGTCGCTCTCTGCTGTTTGCATCTATTTTTATGATTTTTTAAAAATATTTCAGTTTTTTGTAGTTTTTGCTCTGAACTGTGAGCCAATCGCCGGCCAATCTTTGCCTGGCTTCCCTGCGAGCCTCTGCTCTCCTGTATTTTATTTTGTGTTTCTATCTCCCTCTGTGTGTGTGCGTGTGTGTGTGTGCGCGTGGTGTTCTGGTGTGTTCCTGAACCTGACCCGTGTGAATGCGTGTGCATGTTTTACTCCACGTGTGTTTAGGAGTTAGACCGTTCGAATGCGAGACGTGTCAGAGAAAGTTCTCTCGGTCTGACCACCTTAAGACACACACACGGACTCATACAGGTAAAACAAGTGCGTAAACTTTTATTTTTCCATTCCTTCTTCATCCATTTGATGTTTGCATAGCAGCTAAATGCACGTTTCGTCGCAGTAGACAGTAAAATGTCCAAATATTCATTTTATTTGAACTTTTGCGACTCCCTTGTAACATCCGTCCTTCCTTTTCGGGACTCCGTCGTCCTCCTCTCTCAGGTGAGAAGCCGTTTAACTGCCGGTGGCCCAACTGCCAGAAGAAGTTTGCCCGGAGCGACGAGTTGGTGCGACACCACAACATGCACCAGAGGAACCTCACCAAGCTCCAGCTTTCCATCTGAGTGCACGAGGGGCTCGTCCGTGAGAACGTCATGAATCCTGGTGTCTGACCTCAGAAGTCACAAACTCACATCTCTGCAAACCGTAGATAGAATTTATTGTCGCCTTACGCTGAAAGGAGAAGGCAAAATGTAACGCTTTGCCCTTGACTGTGTTAGCAAAATATCTCATGAACCATGGGATGGATTTTAATTAAACTTGATGGAAGTAATCACTGGATGTGCATCAAACCCATTCAAGATGGCTGCCACCGCTAATTGACCTTCAAATCTGCCCCAAAATACCATAAATCGGTCGGTTTTACAGATATTAAGCAAAGATTTGGGGTGGTAGTAGCTGAGAGTCATCCTCAACACATAGTCTGAGCGTGACTTGGTGCATAATGTTATTTTCAAGTTTTCATTCAAAACAGCAGCAGCTCTATCAGTTCTTAATATATTAAAAAAAACGTACATTTCTTACAGAAAATCTGGGCTTTTTATTCAGATTTGTTCTTAATTTCAGTTTGAGGAAAGTGTAGAAAAGTTCAATCGACTCTTTTCCGTTGTGTTTTAACACTTAAAGGCATCTTCGGTTTGCAGAAACGTTAAATATGACTTTTTGTTTCTCCATTTGTTGGGTTTGCGTGCAAAAAAAATGTAATGCACCTGATTTAAATGTAATAAATGTGTGATTTCTGTGAAACAGAAACTATTTTATTAATCATCAATCAGATTATTCAGATTATCTCCACCTAAACTGAATCCGTCTTGTTTTTGTCAGTTTAGCATCTGCTGCGCTGTAAATATTTCTTATGTGCAACTACTTTGGGAAAGCTTATTTATTCTCTCTCTACGCTTTCACTGGAATTATCTAAAGGACAAAGAGGTGTTGAGTTTCTGAGTCCTCTCCAGCAGAATGCCACAAATCTTTCCTTTGTCACTATGTTGGAGCTTTTATTTTGAAAAGATACAAACTAGTTTGTGTTTGTTGTTTGCACACAAAGCAAACGTTTGCCTTTAAGGCCTTTAAAAAGCTGAGGATTTTTTTTTTCTTTTAAGTTGTAATTGTGGTGTGTAAATATTTTTAAGCTTTAAAATATGTCTGCTGGGTCACTCTGGCTCTGTGGCCAAGTCTTTAGGGTTGAGATGTAAATACTTCTTCACTGTGGGGAAAATACTTGTTTTTTTTTCCATGAGGTAAGACATGTAAATTAACTGATATATTGTTCTTTATTTGCATCCAGAAACTGTTTAAATCTGTTGTTTTTTGTTTTTTCTCTGAGGTGTGTTAATATCCGAGTTACGAAAAAAAAAGGCAAACGTCAGTGAAACATTTTGTACTCAAAAGGTGGAAAATGGTGGCGTTGTTCTGTTTTCTTACAGTAAAATTTCATCCCTGCAGTCTTGAACGATCCGTGTCCGTTGTTTTTATTTTTTATAGATTTAACCTGTCTTTAAGTCTTTAGATTATTTGAGCAAACTGCACAGAGGGAAGCTGTTTGGTCGGCAGCACAGTTTGAGGCGCACATCGCCCATTGAAAAATGCGCTAAATTAATTTTGTTCTCGATTACCGCCCACAAAAGTTACTCTTTCTTTTAAGAATACTTATTTTGCATGATTCTTCTCATTCTCTGCCCTGAATGTAAAAATCTTTTAAAAAGTTTTAGGCAATAATCGTCTTACGCAGCCCAGAGAGAGGTTTTCGGTTCCACAGCATACTGTCCTTCCCTGTTAGTGTCTGAAACTGAATGTTTAAATTAAAGAATAAATAAGCTCAGTCTGAGGTTTGAATTTGAACACAATTTTCTCAAACACAAACAGTACGGTACAGTACCGTCCACTTCCCTCTCGTTATCTCTCCAGATTCCTCGTTGCATTCCTTGGCTCGCCTCTCTGTAAAAAAAAGATAAAAATTAATGTGTTTTTTCTCAGCTGCTCCTTTTTTTCCTCTAAAAGTTCAGTTATTTAGGTCAAAAATCAACGCTTCTCCAAAGTTTTCTTCCTGTTTAAACAAAAGTTTATTAAAAATCTGTCCAACAGAAGAATATGCTTTTTCCAAAATTGTATTTATTTGAGTGAACTTTTATCTGAAGTTTAGTGTAAATCAGACAATGTGTCCAATTCCCTCTGTGGAAATCCCCCGAAGCTCCCCGGGCTGCAGTGCTAAGTCTCAGCTGTCGGACAGAACCCCCATCCTTCTTGTTCTCTGCTCTCTGTTTGTGCGTTTCGTTGTTTAATCTCAGCTCCGACGAGGCCCTTTGAAGGCCGATATCTGCTCAGTGTAACTTCACTTTCAGTAGTTACGCTGGGAGTTCAGCGTTTCTGCACTGACCGTGGCCCTTAAATGTGACTTAAACACAGCAAAAAGCTTCATCACCTGCTACCTCAACAGGTGGGAGCACATGGAACTTCCTGTGTCTGCATCTGTGTTTGTTAGCAAAATATGTCATGAAACACGAAGATATCAATGAAACTGTCCTACTGTAATAACCTAATGAACCTCTACAACTGATGTACTTTTGGAGTCAATTCGAGATGGTTGCCACAGCCAACTGAACTTGAAAACACAAAAAATGTCTGTAAACCAATTAAAACTGTCAATTTATAGTCGAGCCCATTTGACCGTTAGCAAAATATCTCATGAGCTGCTGGATGGATTTTAATGATACTCTCAGGAAATGTTCATTGGAGTCTGATCTGAAGAGCTGTAATCTCAACCAATCTACAGTTTATCCAACAACTGTCAGAAGAAATGTAAAACAACCAACTCTCTTCAGAGTATTTTCACAGATTAGAGATTTTGGCAGCCTATTTTATCTCAAGTTTTTAAACTTGAACATATTGTTTTTCTGCTTATTAAATATAACCGTCTGTCTGAACTTAGATGGAAAACGATTTAGTAAAAACATAATTTCGGAGAGTTGTAGAAAGTTTGATGACGTCACTCATTTGCCAAGTCATGTTTCAGTCCCTCTGCTACCGCCTAGTGGTGGATCTGTGACATTACACCATCAACCCTGAAACTTTATTTTTGTTTACATTCTATGAATTTATTATTAGTTTATTTGTGTTGTTCTTTTGTTTCTTGCTACTATTGTTGATCAAGTTGCTGGTATGCTAATTTATCTGAACAGCAGCTTCACCGTTCAAATAAACATGCACAACATTTGTCGAGGGTGGAATGTGACAAAATTAAATAAATACATAATTAAATGTCATTTAATTATTTCATACATCATTAAATATACAATTAAATTATTAAATACACAATTTATTAACTGGTACTTTTATACCTTGTATCTAATAAATGTACCTTTTTAAATTCTTTATTTCATTATGTATTTATTTAATTTTGTCACATTCCACCCTTCACAGTATTTACTGTCTACAATTACTGCCAATCATTCAGGTGGACTTGATGGATATCAAATGGATTTAGGTTTTCAAGACAAAAGAAAACCTCTTAAAATAATTATTCTCAGTAATAAAAGTGGTTCTTGAATCCTGAAACAAAAATGTTTGTTTAAAAGTAGCAAAGGAACAGCTAAAGGGAAAAGGCTAACTAGAAGTAGCAGCAGACAAGCTAAATGTAGCTAAAATAAGCACACTAGCTAGACATATCAATGTGAAAGTTGATGCAAGTAGCAAAAAGTCAGGTAAAAGTAGCAAATGGCTATCTGTAGAAATGGGCAAGCTAAAGTAGCAAAAGGATAACTAAAAGTAGCTGCAGGCTAACTAAAATTAGCAGAGGGCCAACTAGAAAGGGCTGTCAAAAATAGCTAAATGCTGTCAAAAATATAAAAGTAGCAAAAGGCTAGAATATATTATATTAAATAACAGGATTGTATCGTGTGAGGACAATGAGCTTTCCAAAGACTTTTTTTAGTTTCACTTTATTTTCTCCTAAAACCAAAAGTTCCAGCTGGTTTCGGTTTTGTTTCTGACTCCACGCTTAAAGTTTCGTTTCCTGCTGAAGAGGAAATAAAAGACCAGCTGTGTTTTGTCCTGGACTCTCTCAGACCGAGTCCCAGAGGACAGCATGTTTTCGTGGGGACAGGACAGCCAGCGCGGCTTCTGTCTGAAACCAGGCTCGGACTCCTGCAGGTCCACCTCAGCTGGAGTCCATCAGCTGAACTTCAGCTTCCACATCACGGATCTGTCCGCGGGGCTCAACGTGCTCGCGTTCGTTAAAAACAACGGGAACGCGTTTATTCTGCGCACGAATGAGGACAAAGAGGGACGAAGAGTCCGAGGGAAGCAGAGTGAGTATGATCACATCATTTCAAAAGGCTCAGTTTCACAGACGTTGAGCCACAAGTAATTTGAGTGGTAGTAGCTGAGGCTGATCCCAAACACGCAGTCTGAGCGCTGACGGCTTGAGCAAGAACTTTCTTCAAAATAATCTAAAATATCTCGTGAACAGCAAGAAGGATTTTAATGAAACGTTCAGGAAATCCTCTTTAGATGATCATCTCCAACTGATTGCTTTTAGAGACAAAATCCAGTTCAAGATGGCCACCACAGCCTGACATCAGCCAACACAAAATCTGCTGTAACTTCAGCCATTTGTAAAGATACTGAGCTGGGGTTTGATGTGGTAGTAGCTGAGAGTCATCCACAACACATCAAGTTCTGTTAACGCAGACTTAAAGCTGTAGCATTAACTGTGGGAGTCAACTTTTTGTCTGTTAGCAAAATATCTCATGAACTACTGTAAAGATTTTTATGACATTTTTAGAAATTATTTATTAGATATAGATCTACAACTGATTAGCTTTTGGGGCGAGTCCAGTTCAAGATGGCCACCACAGCTAATCAACATTAGCCAACATGAAAATGGCTAAAAGTCAACTGAATTGGCAGCTAATGAGCTAAAATTCCATGTGGTAGTAGCAGAGAGTACTTCACAAAACATATCCTGCTACAAGACCCTTAACTGTCTTTAATACTACTATAATTATTAGAAGAAAGAAAAAAAAAACTTTTTTATGTTCCAAAAGGCATTTTTAATATTTCACCCCACAAATGGAAACACACAATGTTTTTACTGTTGTTGCTTAAAGAAGATAAATTTTCCTTTGAGGTTATAAAAACTAAACAGTCTGCATTTAATGGCACCTTATTTTTTTAACCTGTGTTGTGGCTAAAATATGAATCTCACTGAAATTCACAAAGAAAAGAGAAGACTGGACAAACATTGTATTTTTATGCTTCTTGTGAGGTGACGCTTCATCAAAGTCTTTTAATAGCATCAATAAAGTCAAAGAAATGAGGAAAAATATTATTTGTGATGCGCCCACAAACCAATTTTTGTGAAATGAAATGATCAGTTCTCTAAATTTTAGACAGATCAAAGATGAATAAATTATCCAAAGTGTCGACATTATTAAAGATGGAGACAGATGAAGTGTCTCTGCCTTCTCCCAAATTCAGAATTAATGTCTTTGAGGAGCCGCCATGTTGTATTTTCAGAGGCAGTGCACATGATGTGGGCGGTACCTTTGATGGAGAAAGTCCCGCCTCTCTATTCACCGACAGCCTGTCAATCACAGTCAAACATGACACTTTTCTTCAAGCCACAAATAACGTTACGAAATTAAACTTATAAAAAATATAATACATATTTGGTCATACAGCACGATAAGCTCAAATAAATCAGTAAATATCAACACAAAATAACAGATTTTTTTGTTGTTGTTGGGAAAATGTCTCATTGTTTACATGGAGGGGCGGGGCTTAAAACGTCACTGCAGCTTCAGCTTCCAGTTCCTAGTTCTCTCTCTAGTGATAGTAAATCTTGATGGTCCAAGCAAAGAGATAATGGACTTCTGTTTGTGTCTGCAGAGTTTGTGAAATGTAAGGAGCCGATCAAGGCTGCGAGCTGTCAGGACGACGAGGTGATGCTCCTGTCGAATAAAGGATCCGTTTTCTGCGTGAACACAACCCAAACCCCTTACATGCCCAGGTGAGGAGTAACACCTCCACGATGGATTTAAATCACCATGTGTGCCCCGTGCTGCAGAATGAGCTGTAATGAGCTCAATCTGCAGTGCAAAGTAAATAAAAACTATTGATCGTGAGCAGCATAACATGACTAAGCATAAAAATGAGTCCTTAAAGGCCTCATCTAGTAACTAAAATAACAAATAATCTTCCTAATCTAACCTTTAAATCCAAGTTTTCTAACCGGTATGTCTTCAGAAATAATCCTATACGTTTTAACTCTTATAATTTCATTTAAAACTAACCACTTTTAGTGCTGGGAAATCCCTTCGTATAATGCGTTGGCGTCATTGTTAAAATTAAGCATTCCTCTTTTTAAATATAGGCTCGGATTTCTCAATGACGTCACTCCAGACCAGTAAAAATCAAGTTCAAACCCACACTCGTGAACAAAACCAGGAGATATTACAACAAACTACGATCAATTTGAAGCTTTTCAGATGAAATGTTTGAAAATAATAATTAATTTAGAGAATTCCCTCATTGTGAATCATTTTGCCCACAGGCGACACATGTCACGTTCAAATGATCTCATTTGTCCTCCAGTTTTGTCAAATCTGTTTTGTTTGTTTGTTTGTTGTCTGTCAGGACACTGGAGGTTTTTACCAACATCCCAGTTGCTCAGGTTTCTTGTGGGAGTCAGCATACAGTTGCCCTGACCAAAGGTACGATTAATTTATTTTAAATTTTTATTTATAACAAAGAAAAGAAAAAAGTTTCTTGTTTTTTTTATTTTGTTGTTGGAGAAAAAAATACATCTTTCAAATAATTTCTGGTCTTATTCCAAGAAGACGAAAAGCTACTGAAAGTTCCACTTTTTCTGTTCTGTTTTTGTTTTATCAGTTTGAATCCTTTACAAAAAATGAAAATATTAATTTTTCTTTTGAGATTTAGAATTTGACAACATTAATGGCTCGTACTGAAAAGTTCCTCAACGTGGCTCGCTTTCTGCTCCGCTGTGATGTGCCCACAGACGGTCAGGTGTACACGTGGGGCCGGGACTCCAGGGGTCAGCTGGGTCTGGGGAGGAGGAAATCTGGTGCCGAGTCCCCCCAACACCTCTGGTCTCTGTCCTCCATCCCGGTGGTCCGGATCTCTGCCCGATGGGAGCAGAGCTTCGCCCTGTCCGTGTCTGGAGGCGTGTTCGGCTGGGGCAGGAACGACCGAGGCCAGCTCGGACTGGGGGACATAAAAGGTGGACTTGCTTTATTTCTGCTGCAGAGTATTTTATGAACATTTTAACTTTAATAACTTATTTCTTCCCCTCATAGACCGATATACTCCAGCCTGTGTCCCCAGTCTGAATCTGAAGAAAGCGTGTGACGTTTCTTGCGGAAGGGACCACACCGCCGTTTTGACAAAGGTCAGCCACTGAAAGATAAAAGTACGACTAATATTATCATGTTTTACTCTCAAAATACTGATTTTTTAAAAATTCATATATCAAATTAAATATTTGTACATTTGAATATATATATGTCTGATCTTCATTGAGAGACAGTGTGAAAAATATTAGTTGTAAATGCACCTAAAGTTTGATGAAAACAAGTAAATTGATGATCTTATGGATTTATTGACAGTTTTGTGTATTTGGTCACAATTGTAATGTAAAATTTGGGAGGAAAAAGGTTGACTCTTACCACCAACGAGTAATTAAGTTAAATAAATTTGCAAAGCACTCACCGTCCTCTGACGTAGTTTCCGAAATCACCGTGGCCGAGTTGTGGCTGCCTTCCCTCCGCCGCTCAAAATCTGTAAATAGAGTCCATTCGGTCTAACTCGGTCTGAACGGGAAAGACTGAAGACACGACGAGCTTGGACATAAAGTTGTGGGAAAACATGCAAATTTTCGGTTTAAGTTTCAGTTAGCTCTTTTCAAATTACAGCAGTCCCTCACTTTTCGCGGGGGGTTACATTCCAGTACGTAATTTTAACAACATACTTATATGTACTGTACAGTACTGCAAAATTTTATATGGATACTCACCAGTGAAGATAGTAAAACTTGAAGGATGAGTTCAGCTTCAGGATTATTTGCGACTTTCCTGCCAGTTCTGTGAGTTAATAGATAGATCGTTGCTTCTGACTTTGCATCCCCAAACTATTTTTACCACATCGGTTTCTCCGCTGTGTTTCCTCCCTCCATTGTTGTTCATTGAATTTCAGCAGAAAGCAGCAACTGGAAGCGCTGTTGGCTTCTGGGCTGTGTAGTTCTTTTGACTTGCGTTACAGTATAGGTTTATTGAAAGAAAACTACAAAATGGCGGCGCCTGTCTGAAGTATTTTTTTTGTTTGTTTTTGTTTTTTGTCCTACTGGTTGGTTCCCGCTCCCGTTTACTTTTTATCCCGTACTGTCCCAATCACGTGAGTAATATTAAAATTGACATTCGTGTGTCGTGTGCAATCTTACATTGAAAACCCATGCAACAGTGAGTCAGCGAAAGTCAAACCTCGAAGTATCGAGGAACTATCGTACACGGACAAGTCCTCAGCTGGTCTTCGACACCTGTCGTGTTTAAAGCATGTGTTTGGCATGACTTTCAGCTACTACCACACCAACGCTGAGCATAGTGTCTATAAAACTGACTGCGTTGGAGCCATTTTTGTGTTTGCTGAAGTTAATCAACTGTCTCGATTTAGGTTTCATTCAGCTCTGTCCAGCGTTTCTGGAGATATTTTGCTAACACACCTTGTGCTTTTCATCGGCGTGTGATGTTCATGTACAGTAGGTTTCCTGTTTGGACTTACAGCCGTTTTATTTGTTTGTTTGGTCTCTTCAGCACGGAGCAGTTTTTACGTTCGGCTCTGGTCAGTTCGGACAGCTCGGACACAACTCGTTTCAGGACGAGCTCCGACCTCGACTTGTTGCAGAACTTTGGGGGTCAAAGGTCATGAAGATTGCATGCGGAAGGTAAATTATAACGCCTTGCAAAATCTAAACATTCAGCCCAGCTCAAGCCCAGGAAGTTACTTTAGCAACAAACCTGAGGTCGATGAGCTGACGATGAAATCTAAATCCAGTTGTTTGTAAAGTTCACTGTAGTCTTCCAAAGGTAATGTTTAGGGAAAACAAACCAATGCTGAAGGTTTTACTTTTAAATCTAACCCTGACTTGGTTTATAGTGTTTATCTTCTATTTCTGTGTAAACAAACGCTTTGAAAAGCTGCTCACACATTATGTGTAAAAAACAACAACCCTCAAGCTGTCTCATTCACAGTATAAAACAGAATTGCAAGGTACTTTGTCATATTGCACATTGTATTTGTGTCTGTAATTTAAAATAAAAATGTTTATGATGTATATTTCTTCTCAGAAACCACACATTAGTTTTGACAGATGCTAATAAAGTTTACTCGTTTGGCTGTGGCAAGCACGGACAGCTGGGACACGGAGAGGAGCACCATCCGTCTGTTCCCCTTCCTGTTTCACTGCCTCAGGGTGAATACGTCTCAGATTTAAAGGCCTGGTACTGATAGAAATCCAACTACCGGTAATAATAAATAAATGACGTTCTTTTTCATTTCAGACACCAGCCGTCCCAGAATCCAAACCATCTTTGCAGGAGAAAACTGTTCCTTTGCGACCTATTGTCCTGACAAGGTATCCTTAGTTTTCTCCTCAGAATGATGGAGGTTTAATTAAAAGTAGCTCATCTTGTTACATTTGCAGGAAGTTGACAGAGTTTTATGTTCTGAGGGAGGCTCTGAAGTCCCACAGAGCGGTCTCGAAGGCATCATCGATAGATGGATCTCTGAATGTGACTCCAAGTCATGGAAAAAGATTAAACAGTGAGTTTTTAAAACTTTAGCAGGTTATTGAAAAGCCTGATATTGTTTCACATTAAAGGTTTAAAGTGAAATGTTTTTTTCTCTTCACAGAGAAATCCACAGAACATTTTCATCTGCGTCCTGTTTGAATAAAAGCTTCCTTGAGCAAAGGTAAAGACTTTTATTTTGTAATATTCAAAGTGTACCAAGTTAGCATCTAACGCTGACTTGCTTGTCGTCTCTGGTTTTCAAAACTCTGACAGAGGCTGAAAAAGTTTGAATGTTTCTGCAAACTTTCTGCTTTATCGTCCTCTTTTTTCTTTTGCCGTATTTTCAAAAAACTGTCTGGTTTTTACAACATTTATGTACTCCTCGCTGCCTCATTCAGTCATGGGACAATGAACGTAGACACTTGTTCAGTAGTAGAATTTTGTTTTCATTAACAGAAACGGGTCTGGTCTTTTCTTGAGACAATGCCAAGGCAGAAAGACATCAGCAATGAGCTTAGAGAAGCAACTGCTGCTTCCCATCAATCTAGAAAAGGTCAAAGGTCATTTCCAAACACTCTGAAGTCATCGTTTCACAGAGAAAAAGCTTATTCACAAGTGGAAGATGTTTAGATACGCTGCCAATCTTCCCAGTAGGGGATGTCCTAGTACGTTCGCCCTGAAAGTCAGACCATGCAGTGCTCAGAGGAATTAGCTCCATCTCACATTCTACAGGCCTCAATTAGCAGATTAAAGGTCAAAGGTCATGGATTGTTTGGAAGGGCTGCACGAGAAAGCATCTCTAAAACAACATGGCAGCAGTAATTTCTGGACTATAAGCCACTACTTTTTTCACAGGCTTTGCACAACACGGCTTATACAAGGCTGCGGCTAATTTATGGATTTTTATTTTAAATTTTGACTGGCTAACGAACCAAAGCATTTACCCTCGTCACACCTGGGGGCGCTCACGTAGCTTCCCAATACATGTCTCTCTTCTTGGGATGTGGGTCCTTGTGACTCAATGAGGCTACATGTATAAATAAAGATTAAACAATGAAATTACAGAGCAGTTCACAGTGGATCAGTGACACGGGGAGTGGCGATTCCCCTGCATACGAAGCGCAAGTTACTCTATCTATCTATCTGTCTGTCTGTCTGTCTGTCCGTCCGTCCGTCTGTAATTTTTAATTTTATTTAGTGGGCGTGGCTTATATTCATGTGTGCTCAAAAGTCCGGAAATGACGGTAACTTTGGTTAGGAAAGTTTGTTCTGAAGGAACCACAAGACTTCTGGACAAATTAACTCAGCGTATCTGTTCTTTTTGTGGTAAAACCTTAGAAATAACGTAAAGTGGACTTTTATTATCTCAAAATAATTTCCAGGAGGAAAATGCACCAAGATTGGTTTAAATTGTAAGAGTATAATAAGAGTTATAGATTTTATGTCAGTCTAATAAAGACTCCTGGATGACCATGTCTTCTGACTTATATTGTTATTCTCACAGAGATCAACATTTTCAAACCTCATCAAAGTGCCACGGCCTGAACCTGAAAGCGGCTCGACAGACGTTTAAGAAGCTGGTGAAGAACGTCAGCGTTTGGGACGAGGTGTGCAACTCAGGCTTTGACTAAATGAGAATATCTGTGGAACCAGAAATTAGCCACATCCCCTCGTTTTATTTTGGATTGTTTAAACCAACAGGCCGAGGCTGCCGTTCTGCACCTGTTGCCTCTTCTTGATAGGAATCCTGTTGGCGTGGAGAGTCTGAGGGTCTTCCTGCTGCTGAACGAGCTTCTGCACGTCCGCCAGAAACACACCAAGCAACGAAACACGAAACTCGCTGAGGCGCTCGCCGCTGCTGTAACGAGCCTGTCGCTTCAAAGCCTCCAGGTTTTAGGTATGTTCTTATTTTTTAAAACACCTGCTCAGTAAAGTCTCAATAATGTGACAGAAAACCGTTTTTGCGGTCTTCCTCAGGGAACTGGTGGTCTTCGCTGTCGCCCTCCAGCATGGGGAGGTTGATCAAGGTGTGGAAACAAGCGCTCTCTGTGATCTTTACTTTTGATCCGGTTCCTCGCAGTTCTGGAGTCAGAAACCTGCTTCTAGTTCTTCAGTACATGTACAACGTCAGTACTACAACCATAAATAAGAATTCCAGGTCAGATGGTTTTGATTTTTATCCAGTAAAGGCCTTTATGAATGTTTTATTGACAGGTAAACAGCAGGGTTTCAGAGTCTCGGAGGCTTCCGGAAAGCGAGTTTTATTTGTCCATGAATGAAACATTTCTTTCTGATGATCTGCAGCTCTGGCGTTTACGTTCCCAACGCAGGGTAAACTGAAAAATTATATCATGCTAATACCTTTTTCAGTACATGTGATGTTACAATTGATTAAAAACTCATATATGTTTTTTTTTCTTCATGTTTTAGTATGTGCGAGCCGAGCCGCTTGTTCTTTGCAACTTTCCGATGGTGATGGATCTGCAAGCAAAGACAAGGATTTTTGATATGAACACTGCACGCACCAGGGTAACTGCAGCTTCATCACAACTTTTGAACACAATAATATGATTTTCCTTCAACATTTATTTTTTTTATGTCGAGTCCACCCCTCACATGAACTTAAAGTTCAATTCACACGCAAGATAACTGAATAAACTAATTACCAACACAACCTAGTTTAAGTTGATTCATCTTTTAAAACAATTTGTTGACAGTAATTGACGTCATGCATCACTTGGCATATTGAATGCATCGTCTTAGGGAGCAGTTCAGCTTTTTAAACGCCCCTCAAAAGGCGAAAGTTTAAAGATACTGTATATAGTCTATATAAAGCAGGGGTACCCAAAGTGGGGCCCGCGGGCCAAAGTTGACCCGCCAAGCTGTCCTCATTACTATATTACAATTTCCTTTGAAGAATCAATGTGCTCATTGATTCCATCTATTTACTTTATTGTTAGTCGGTCTGACTACCATAATTTAACTACATGGATTACACAGTAGAGTAGATGATTTATGTATTTTTTTTTAAATAATTTATATTTTTATATTTTATTTTGACAGACTTTCTACCATCCCTCGGCAGCTTCCTGCCACTGAATAACGTTTTCCTTTGACAGAATACACTTATAAATCACACAAAGTGTTTAAAAGTAAATTATAAATATGAACTGGTTTCAGTGGTGATTTTAGCATCTTTACATTTAAACTCAGCATCCCTGAAAAATAAAGAAACCATCATTAGGATTGTGTAAGGAAACAGTTTTCAAACCTTAGAATCACCAAAATATTAAATAAATATGGAATAAACGACGACAGTCTCAAACGGGCCAATAAAAGCTATGATTTTTTTTGCACGAGGCCCACCATCTGTCAATCAATCCAGTAAGCACGTCAACAACTGACCAATCAGCAACCTCGATTTGTCCTGAAGTGAACACCTCTAACCTGCAGAGCTGCAGCGGTGTTGCATGAATGCTTTGCAGTCAGAGATATTTCAATAATAAGAGTTTACATCTTTTGTTTCATGTTCAGCTACTGTAATAAACTTGTAAAATACACCAGAATGCAGGAAATGGCATCTACTTTAATCAAAATTTTCTGGGGGAGGACCCCCTACCACCACCAACACAGTATGTTCTGTAATGTTCTTTATACAGAATGGAAGGTTAACTAACTGTATAATAAATAAATGGACTTTACTTAAATAATTATTTGCATTTCATGTATTATATTATTGCATTTGGCCCGCAGCCCTCTGATAGATTTTACATTTGGCCCTCTCAGGGAAAAAGGTTGGGCACCCCTGATATAAAGTATATTCTCTAACTTTAAACTTTCTCTTATTCTGCTCATAACTTCTCAAGATAATTTAACAGAACTTCACACACACATGCATCTTCACTAGACAGAGTGTCTGTGCGCTTTTCATCACCCCAGCTTCATTCTCTGTTCAGATGTTTCTTTGGTGTTAGAAAGCATCGAACTTGTAATATTTTGACATTGAAGTGTTATTTGGTCGAAGAGAATATGGCAGAATTTTTTAACAAAAAAGAGATATAATTAGTTCTTAATGCCTCGTAGTTTACAGCAGCTTTTCAGTCCTAATTAAATGTTATTTAACGTCTCCAGAAGGAGCAGCAATCAGTTCAAGTTCAAAAACTAACAGCTTTGTTAGTTCGCCAAAAATATGAAAAGTGAAACCTGCAATCAGTCACGTTTCATGTTTTTATCTTCAGTTAAGTTTCATTTTTGATTATCACCTGCCAGAGAAGGCAAACTGATTATGTTTTTTTTTACAAAGTATCTAAAACCTTTAAATAAATTTTAATGCAACTTGCACCAAAAATGACTTGGATAAGTGAGTTTCTGCAGCGCCTTCAGCTGCTGCAAAAGGCTTTTGTGAGTTTACCGCACCTGCCTTCTGTGTCCTAAACTTACCTGTAATTTCTTGTAACAGCAAGAGATCCAGGTGCCTTGCTTTCATCAACTCTTTCAAGAACTGTTATGGGATTTGGAATTGTGTTTCACTATGCCTGGATTCTTGAGGCTGAACCTGAAGAGAGCATCAGTGTTGAAAGACACATTTGAACAGCTGGCCGCTGCACATCAAAAAAACTACAAGGGGTTCCTCGTCGTAAGCAAACCTTCATATTTTAGGTTTTACTGTCATAGAGCATTTAAATACTCATAAATGTAAGTTGTGTACATTTCTGCATGTATTGATAACTTGTGTAGCTGCAGTTAGGTCTGGGCGATATGGGCTTTAGCTAATATTTAGATATTTCTGGTCATATCATGATTCACAATAAATATTGTGATGTTTTTTAACATCTAAATTACTGTATACATGTAAAGTAGTCCTGTATGGCGTAAAATATTCAAAAAGAAACTTTTAAAATTTTCAGGAAAATGCAAAAGCAGCATTTACTTTAACTCTTTTTTGGTTACAGGTCCATTTTGATGGCAACGTTATTAACGATCCTGTCTACCTGAAAGATTTTTTTCATGAAGTCTTTCATGAGATGTTGTCGACTGAGTCTATGTTCATGTTCAATGACTCAGAGACGCTGGCGTGGTTCTCCTCCAGGGTAAGTTTTTTTTTTTTTTTAATTTACAGGAAACGTTTATGGGATCAACTGAATTCACAGCCTTTCTGGTTATAATTGAGACCAAACTCAAAGGTTTTTATTTGTCTATACAAACTATGTCAGACTGCGCAGGAGGACCAGCGTTCGTACCTGTTTGGAGTTCTGTGTGGACTGGCTTTGTACAACCAGGCCATCATTTTCTTACCCTTTCCACTGGTCCTTTTCAAGAAGCTCCTTGGAGTGAAGCCATCCCTGGAGGATTTGATAGAGTTCAACCAAAGTGTTGGCACGTAAGCAGAAATGTATCAACGTTAAAACAATTATAGTTTTTAGATTCAAACGTGTTAGATAAATGTGTTCAGTTTTTATTAATTTTTTCAATTATTATTTTCTTTAAGGAGTCTGCAGTACATTCTGGACTACCCAGACGATGACCTCGTGGACCTGTACATGGACTTTACTGTAGGTGTTTGATAGCTGCTCCAGTTCTTTGATATTTGACATGTTGGAATCATTGCCAAAACAATAAAACCAGTATTTTCTTTCTTCACAGATCTGCTGGGAAGCCACAGATGTGGATCTTGATCCTGGACATCCCAACAAGCAAGTTACCAGCAAAAACAAGTAATAACCAAACATCACCTTGTAGCTTGACACAATTTTCCAGAGTTTGTTTAGTTCTTTAAAAATAGCAAAGATGACACGATCTGACAGAAATAAAAAATAAAACATTTGCACCAACCAGGTTGGGCTTATGTCTGCATAGAGTAAATTAGTGAAAGGATGGTGCATCAATGGGGCCTTTGCAGGGTTTTTGTATATCTTAAAGAAATCCCTCTTAAATGCTGTTCATTTGTCTCTAATAATTGTTCAAAAAATGCCTAATATCTTCATAGAAACCTGTGTTGGCACTGAAAACGCCAGTGCAGGATATTAGTAAGAACATATCTTAAAGTCCTATTTTAAGGATGTCTTTGCTCAGTTTTGTGTGATGTGTAGCTTCAACACTGGTTCATCGTCGAGTTGGGCATCCTTTTGGCACTTCACTGATCCAGAAGTCAGAGCTGACAGGCCTAAAAACATCACATTCCTCTGGAAATGGTCAGGACTGGACTAAAAATGAGTAAAATGGTACATAAAGTCCAAAGAAAAATTTTAAAACACCTGAGGAAAGCCCAAAGAACTACAGGTAAAGGCCACTTTTAAGTCTGGCTCAATAAAGATCTTTATTTTGTACTCTAACACAAGTCAGACAGGACAGAAAACATGAGTATTGTAATCTATGATCCAGTAGAACAAAGTCCATGCTCAACAATCCAGGTAAACCAACATTTTTCAGTCAGGTCATCTGGACGGACGGACCCAATTCTTGTTTGTAAACGTCATTGAAATTAATATTGCTACCCCCTTCCCAACTGTCGGCACCAACTTAGCACTATGCCAACCAAATCAATCAGGTGATATTTATATCTGTTGAACAGGAAGGAGTTTGTTGATGCGTATGTGAATCACGCCTTCAACACATCTGTGGCATCTGTGTTCGAGGAGTTCAGGAGAGGTTTCTTCCAAGTGTGTGACCAAGATTTGGTGAGGCTTTTCAGGCCCAAGGAACTGCAGGAAATACTGGTGGGCAAAGACTTCCATGACTGGGAAAAGATGAAACAGGTGACACTTTACTCTGAAGATTTTTCTTTACATCTTGATGGGCTTGTGTTGATTACTGCAGTGCTGAAACCAGAGCCTTCTTGGTTTTTAGAACACGAGATACGAAGGACAGTACCACATTGACCACCCCAACATACAGATGTTTTGGGAAGTTTTTGATGAGCTAACAGATACACACAAAAAAGCTTTTCTTTGTGAGTAAAAAAGTTAAATTTTAACACATAAAACCATTGCTGTTTGGTTGGATTTGTTCGCCACAAACGCTGACTGAAAACCACTGTCACTTCCTCCAGGGTTCGTGACCGGATTTGAACGAGTACCCGTCCTTGGCTTGGACAAAATCATGATGACCATCAGAGTTAAATGCATCCCGGACCTCTCCTATGACCAGTACTATCCTGAGACCCATACATGTGACTCAATCCTGGAGCTGCCGTTGTACTCAAACAAAGAGATCCTGCAAACCAAATTGATTGAGGCCTTGAGCAATAATAACAGAATCACCAAGTGATCAGAACCTTGTCCAGTCTTATACTTTGTCACACGACTGGCAAACTTAGACGCAGCTGTTAGTCATGTTAATAGTAGGAATGATTTGTGTAAATAAACGAGATTCTTACACATCTGTACATGTCTGCCAACTACCACGTGTGATTCTTTACCCATGGAAACAATCAAAGTGGCTGAAAATAGGTCCAGAACGCCGACGTTGATGGGAGAGCCATTTGGGAATGAGAATTTCAGTAAATTTTATTGTATTGGTGCATGTTTAGACTAATTTGTAAAGTATGCAGATAGCTTTTTAAAACAATCTCCATTGATAAAGACTTGAAATAAGGATGTATTTACGTAGCAGTTTTTTCTGGACAAAAATAATTGATGTACAATAAATAACCACAACCAGCCTACTGTAGATCAGTCATATGACTCGAGCTTCTTCAAAGTTTTTGGCAAACTGACTTCAGCCTAGTGCTTTGTTTACATTGAGTGCAGATCTGCATTTTAGAATTGGATACAAATGTATCTGGAAAACTACTGGAGTAAACACTTTCAAACTGTGGCATTTGATATAGTTCAGGACAGCCTTTTTTGTGTTAGTTTGCAATGAACACCTTTAAACTACCTAAAATAGGTTAGACTTCAGAAAAACAGTTGCTGTAGGTTGACCAGGCATCCCCGATTTCTGGGGATAGTCCTCGTTTTGGACGACCTGTCCCCTGCTAAAGCTGTCTCCAGAAATGTCTCAGATTTTAGTGTTTTATAAATGAGAAAACATGTGTGTGTGGAATGTTATTACAGTAGCTGGGTAGAAAGTGAGAGTATGTTTCACACATTAACAGCTACTAGCTGGTTGTGCTGCTGTTAACATTACAGACACAGAAGAAGAGTTGAGCGAACGCCTTTAAAAAAGATGGCAAAGAAGAAGAGAGTGACCACATTCATGCATAACATACACACGCTCACATGAGTATATGGATATCTTTTATAATATCCATTGTACAAGTTTCCAGAAAGGGGAGGGATAGAATGCATTTCTGTCATTGTGGTATTTTCCATATGGCCACTAGATGGTAACATTTTCCTGTTTACTTTCTGTAAGTGAAACAAAGAGCATCAGGAATGAGATCATCTTGCAGACTGATTCAGGTTCATTGCAACAAAGAATACCTAAACCTGCACACTGAGCCAGAAATGCATCAGATCCAGTCAGTAAATAAGTGAGAACACTGATAGATTCACATAAACCAACAGACACGCATGTATGTATTGCATGCATGCATGTATGTATGTGCACATGCAAGTTGCCTTAAATTACACATGCAGGCAACATAACATCCTTAGATGACAAAGACCCCACCCAAACCTGGTGACCACAGTAGGATCTTGACCCCTACTTTGTGACCCACTGTAATAAAGCAAAGTAGTAACTAATAGAAACTTAATAAAAATGTACGGTATGTAAATTTGTATTTAGTTAATTATTTCTTTGTTGCAACAGTACTTCTTGACAATAGATCTGTACTGTTTGAAAGCCTGTTTCTTTCCCCTTAAACGGCGTCACGTTTGGAAGAAAAATGCATTTGTGGGTTGAGCAGCAGACTTCATTACGTAGGTCGCACTCATAAAAACTTGCCAAACCTCCTTTACCAGAGTCCAACAGCCTTTTTTTTTGTTTTTGTTTGTTTATTAAATTCAATTTAGTTGATTTATATAGTGCCAAGTCACAACTTTACTCTTGCTTGTTGTCATTTATTGGATTGGATTTTTGAAGCTCAGTAGCATGTGGAAGAACCATACACAGCCACAGCCTGACATCCCCTTTTCATGCTGCTCACTAGCTTAGACACTGCTGTGGGTTCTTGTCTATTCTTCAACCAGCATTTGTGGCAAGTCAGCCATCACGGTTGTGCTAGTTGCCCTGGAACAAACGGCACACCAAAGTTCATCCAACAGGGGATTATTGGGGTTGAGGTCAGGATTGCAGGCTGGACAGTCTATCCTTTCTCCGCCCAAAATCTGGATTTAGTCTCGGATAATTCCGCTCTGTGGGGGAGAGCGTTGTCTACATCGAGGGTAGAGTTCAGTCCCAGACTGCGGAGATGTGGGACTGCCACCTGGGGTAGCTAAAAACTCAACTACAGCAGAATTAGCTGTTTGGCATTGGCAGAGAAGATTTGGCAAGATGTTCATGGTAAATGGAAATGGACTGTACTTATATAGCGCTTTTCTATCTTATCAAGACACTCAAAGTGCTTTACACTACAATCTGTGCCCTCATTTACTCATTCAGCATTTTAATATATCCATACATGGGCTAATCAGTGCTTTATCACATTTGTCATGTCACCAATGGGACGCACATCGGAGGCAATGAGGGGTTTGGTGTCTTGCCCAGGGACACTTTAGCATGTGACTGCTGATGGAATCAAACCCCCAACTCTTGCATTGGAGGACGACTGCTCTAACCACTCAGCCACAGCCACCCACAGTTCATGGGTGCAAATGCAATTCACAAATGTATTCTTCTTTTTTTTTTTTTTACAGATGTGGTACCAAATAAGAATAGTAAAGAGGCTTTTCAACAATGTGCCATTAATTGCCAAGACACATTGTTACAACAAATACATTTTCAACTAAACACAAATTTACCCACTTTTTGTAGTCAGTATTCATCGTTTTGTAAGGGGTGTTATGGATAGTTTTGTCTCCATGGACATCAGAGGGAAAAAAACAAGAATTGGTTACATAATTTCTTGGCCTTCAGGAGCTTCATTCAGTTATTTTCCTCTTCCTCTCTGTGCCCCGAGGCGCGCCGCCGCGTCGCGGGGGCGAGCAGGAATGCATTGACGTCAGTTCAGAAGAAGGCGGCGCACGCGGACGCTCGGCTCCAAGCTTCCTCGAGGCTATCATGAGAAAAGTGCGTCTCCGCAAGGAGAGCGGACATGGAGCGGTGACACCGAGTCGCTAGGCTGCCGACTGAACCGAGCCGCTGTCGGAACCGAGCCGCCGTCAGGCAGAACCGGAACATGGTAAGTTAGCGGCTCCGCTGCCTTGTTCTCCCTCCGCAGCTTGCGCGTGATGTTCCCGCCGCGGCAGTTCGTCCAGGACTGGACTGAACGTGAGCCAAGAACTTGGGCCGAGTGGAGAACAGCTGGCCTCGGGTCCAGATCCTCATCCAGGGTCTGAGGTCTGGTACAGCCCGGATGTGTGAGGCCTGTCCGGGTCCGGTCGGTCCAAACGGGCATGTTGTTGCAACATTAGTGATAACAAATGCTCTTGATGATGACTGCAGGTGAGGAAGAGCTGATTGTGGAGGTTTTAAACTCGTTTCTTTGTGGTGAAATTCCTCTAAAGCTGCTGACTGGGCAGATGTTTTTAAAAGCATGAGGGCTGCTGGTTTAAAAACAAGAGATGGACAAAAAAAAAAATCAATAAAAACAACTGCAGAGAGGAGAAAAGAGACTAAACATCCACTGGATGACACAAAAACCTCCAGAAAGACCGAGAAACAACAACATGGACTGTTGGACAAAACTCAACTTTAACAGCTGAGGAAAAACCGTGGACAGAAAGCTTGAAAACACTTTGGGGTGCAGCAAGAGAAGCAGGATAATTAAAAGAAATATATACTTTTCTAAAAACACACCAAAAAGATTTAATGCCGAATGACAACTGAAATTTACAGAAGAAGCTGAAGCTGCTGTTAAAACTAATGAAGCAGAACACTAACTAAATACTTGCTTAAAAAGCTAAACATTAGCTAAAAGTAGCAGCCAGATGCTTTATTTAAGTCGCTAAAAATAAAAACTCCTGGCTAAAAGGTAAAAATATTAAAAGGCTAAGTAAAAATGGCAAAAACATTAGTTAAAAGTTAAAAATAGCAAAACACTAGCTAAAAGGTGAAAGTGGCAAAACACTATCAAAAAGTTAAAAATGGCAAAACACTAGCTAGTAACATGAAGTAGCCAAAGGTAAGCTAAAAGCATAAAATGGTTAGCCCAAAGCTGAGTAACTAAAGGCTAGCTAAAAATAGCAAAACACTAGCTAAAATGGTGAAACTAGCTTAAAGTAGGAAAAAGCTAGTTAAAAGTTAAGATACACAAAACTAGCAAAAAGTCAAAAGAAGTGGAACAGAAGCTAAAAAGCTAAACACTAGCTAAAGAAGCAAATTATTAATTGCTAAAAGTAGCAGAATGCTAGCAAGAAACTTAAAGGCAAGCTAAAAGTAGTAAAGGCTGATTTAAAATGGCACAAGGCTAGCTAAATAACAGAACTAATGGAAGCTAAAGGAAAAAAAAGTTTTGCAGAAAGTGGTGAAGGCTGCACAGAAGTCTGTTAGAGTCAGCCTCCCCACTGTCACAGACATCTACACTTCCAGATGCAGGAAAAGGTCCACCTGCATCATGAAGGACCCCACTCACCCAGCACACACACTTTTTGCCCCGCTC